TTTACTCTTGTTTCATTTAGAGGGTCTGTTTTGCTTTCTGCCAAACAGTCTGTGACAAACGGTTTTTCAAAAGCTATAGGTTTCCTACTATGGGTCACCAGTCGCTGTTTGCATGATATAATGCACAAACAGATGTAAGGTAGTAAGCAGAGTCACATGGATGGACATACCTGTAAACAAAGTTTAGGTTCCATTGTTTGTTTTTTATCTGTGTTTGCATAAAACTGAAAAACTGTGTGAACTTATAGAGTATTCAAATCATTTCATAATTTCAAGTTGTAACCTTTCTTCTTAATACCATTGGTAATTGAGTCTATAAAAGAGTTTCATACTGACACAACATACTCGCACTTATAGTGTTTCTACAAGTGTATTGCCAGTGAAATCTGTGTTGCCATCAAAATGTTTTCTTCATCCAAATGTCATTCAACTATAACTACTTCGAGACGTAAATTAATCTCTTCTTTTCATGCATCTACCATAATGTTCTTTTCTCCTATCGTACACAGCGTTTTGCGCACATTTCCTGCTAGATCCTTTTTCGTTTTTAACATAAACATTTTTATTGATTTAGACAATATGACGTCAAAGTATTGTCAAGGTACTGATTCTCTCCACAATGCACAAAAAAGGTCATTATGGTCTTTACAGTTTGACATTGTCTTAAGACATCTTGTACCAATAATTATTCAAAGACTTCGCATGTCCTTCAAGAGCTTAGCCAACACGAATTCTGAGTAGTACCTACAGGAACATATGGATATATGAATAACTGCAAACAGAATACATGAGAAGTGTTTTGATCTTATTGTGTTCTCTAAGCTGGATGGTTTAGTTGTGAAACTTTCATTGTCATTTCAAACAACATCAGTTCAAACTTCTGAAAGAAGTGAGCAGCTTTAGGATTTACTCCACAAGTCGCTTATTAGCTTGTCCTGATGGCCTTGTGTGTGATTGGTTATTTCTGTCATAGTCTTGTCATTGTCTCATTATTTATTTCGATTGTTTGGCCTGCTGATGTGAACTATGACTCTTATTGTCTTTTATTGGTTGAAAGATTGGGTCAATAACAAAATGTCTGTTAATCGCTTACCCAATCTTTCAACCAATAAAAGACAATAAGAGTCATAGTTCACATCAGCAGGCCAAACAATCGAAATAAATATTGAGACAGCGACAAGACTGTGACAGAAATAACCAATCACACAAGGCCATCAGGGCAAGCTAATAAGCCACTTGTGGAGTAAATCCTATAGCTGTTCACTTCTTTCAGAAGTTTGAAGTGACAATGAAAGTTTCACAATTGAACCATCCAGCCTAGAGAACTCAATACACCTTCTGAGCTGCACATATTCTCCAGAACATGAGGGATGTCATCAAAGGAAATGATACCAGAAAACATTCCACAATATACAATGAAGACATTGTTCGAGTGAGAACTAATTGAAAATTTCCTACAGTAAATTTTTCGGGTGACATTTGTACTGCATACTGATGTCAAAAGATGAAATCTAACGATAAATGCTAATCGGTATTGTCTAAAATGTAACTCTGGACCAACTCGGGATGATTGCAAACGACTACTTAAATGACGCTTAACCTTCAAATTAAAAACAAAGATGGTGAACAACATTTGTCTGTATGTGACACAATGTAAACGTCAACAATGGCAAGTTAAAACTTGCAAGAACAGCACTGAAATGAATAATGAAGCTGCAAAGTAAATAACTACTAAAGGCATGAAAACTTAGCAGGGTTATATTCATTTTGTAAAAGCTTAATCATTGCACTTAACCTCCTTCTAATCTTAATTGAATGTTGTTGGTTTGAAACGTTCGTCTAATGCAGAATTACTGACCACAAAGCAAGTCATAATTCAAAGAAAACTACGCCCATATACAGATGGAAAGGAAACAATAGTACGCCATATTTTCTCCTTAAACTTCTACCATCTTTCCTTCATTAAAATTCTGTAGGGAAATAATTACTGATGAGTTATTGAAATTTGTGCCAGCTACAACCTCAAATTTGAGATCAATCTGAGCTAACCAATCACTTACTGAGGTAAAATGGTTTTACAGCTATCCTGAAGCGAATAAATCAAATACACTGGAAAAATCGCTTTGTTTGTGTTTTTTCGTGTCACTAACTAGTTACCCTGGTAAAGCCTGATTCCTTCTGTATATTTTTAACTGCACAAAGTTAAATATTGCAGTAGTTATAATAAAAGCCAATCAGACTGCCCGACCGAATTATGAAAGGAAATATATTCAGAATGCGTTTTAGTCAACATGACGAATATTTTTGAATAACTTCAGTAAATCAAAAATTCTGTTTTATCATAGAGAATGAAATAACCAGAAATTAAAACGTATTTATGCTTTGACAGTTTTCATTTGTTTCAGTCATTGACTCTAAGTAACCACTTGCTGTTTAAAATGTACTCTACTACCTGCTCTACGTAAACTCGACCAACAAGTGTTAACTGATTTTTTCCGTGAAGTGATTTCAACATATTCCAGAAATATTGATTTAAATTATTTTATAAAATATCGCTTAGAAATTCGATATGAAGTAGTCTTTTTACCAGAATTATATAAACAGAGACTGATGTATATCTTTTTAAAAATATATACAATAGAAAAATGCGGATTGTTTAGTCTCGACTGGCCTTTATTTAAATTTTCGAAGTATAATAAGTTTAAATACAGTTAGGGAAGTGTCAGCCTACACACACACATATGATAATACGTATGTACATACATTGTATGATCTACATGTGTGCAAAGGAGATAAGAACAAAATGCGCAATAACATGTTAGAATGAACTAACATATATGTTTGCCTGCATTTTACCTCAGACTCTACCAGACAAATACTATTGGCTGGTTTTTCAGTTCTGTTTGACTTACAGCACATTTTATCCCTTTTGAAAAATGAATAATACAACTTTATCGAAAAAACATTAACATATATGGCTTAAGGAGTACAAGATAAATGTCATTGACAAAAATCGGCTAATCTTAACTAAAAAAGCTACATTTTAACGATAACCACGAATAAAGTTGACAGTGGAACTGACTTGTAGTAAAAATCCATTTGCTAATCATGGTATCGGTGCATCAATTATCATTTTCAGAGATAGATGCCCTATTTCACAGGTGTTGTTTTTTTCATTGTTAATCTAATGTTCAGTGGTAAGATTTACTGGAAAGCAAGTTACTTCTATTTGATAGAAATGTAACACCACAAAATGACATTTAATTACTATCCAAAACATGAATATACATTGTATTTGCTGATAGCGCTACACTGTAACCGTTGGAGACGCTAAGCAACCAGAGTTCGCTATTTGTTGTCTTACAAATTTTTTACGTTTTGCACCTTGACCGAGAATTTCGTACCACTCAAAGTAAACTTCAAAACACAGACACACTGTTTATTCTCACTCTAGTACTTTTTATTTATAATTTACGAAGAAGAAGTGTATTTCGTTAACCACTATATTGATCGCTGGTTATCATGCAGCTAGATTTTAGTGAACTTGAATCAGATGAAATAAACGGGTCTCCATATTTTAACGTTTATATGAATAGTCCTTTGAGTTGTGATAAAATAGCTTACAATAGTACATCCAACTTTATAAAAAGTAAAATTCAATTATTTGCCAACCTACATTTTGAAAATTGTCATTTATTAATCAAGGGAGAACACTCTAACAACTTCCGAAATAACCAATTAGGTTGTGGTGTTTTGGCTGGGAAGATAGTTTGTCATGGAATAAAGAAACGTGATTGGTTGCTTCATCAGTTGCTAGGGTGGTCTTCAAAAGTGAATCAATAATCAAATCAAAACAGATTATTCTACAGGCACGTTCAAATGAAATTTTCAAGTGTGCAGTCTGACTGTTTGAAAAGTGAATGAATTCTAATGGCTTCTTCCTTTTTTTAAGGTTATCTTACTTGACCGTTGATCCTTTATAAATGTCTCTATATAAGTATGCAAAGAGAATTATCGATGTGAAAATATCTCGTTTTGCAAGCTGGAAAAGGCTTACACTTTTGAATTAAAGTTTTATGAGCTTGCTTTACCGTATAACTCTCTATTTGCTTGAAAATAAGTAGTTCCTCAGCTTTTTTAATGACAGTAGGGGACTCAACATTTGCTTTTTAGCTGGCTGAAGAAGCCGGAGATTACTGAAGACATTTATAACCAATCAACAGACTTTGGAAACATGATAACTTTTGATGACATAAAATATAAGCAGTTTGTTAGATAAGCAGTGATGCGTACTGTTCTTTGATATGCCGAAAAGTACAAAGTCAGTGGTTAGGAAATGAATAAGACCATCCAAGATGCTTGTCTCAACCTCAAAATAAGGAATCTAACTAAATAACCCACTTTATAGCTTTAGGAAGTCAATAGGTTAGTGATAATGGGATCGAAAGACTACAGTTAGTGTTTAGCATTACGCCGAACTGTGATAGGATACCATATGGACTTGAGCTTGAAATAACCTCCAAGTGACATACTACACTATACAATTAATGACTTTTTTGCTGAATAGATAACTTACATGATTCGAAAGGAACCACAGATTAGTAGTGATCAGCAGGTGGAAATCAGTAAATCAGGGAGTCATATAAATCACCAAAGGCATGGTTTGGTGCTGATAATGTAGGACAATGAAGAAGCATATCCATCATCCCTTTATGAAAAATGAAATCAACAGCTGTCAAATGTTTTAATCCTTTTAAAAGCCCACGTGATGTAAACGACTGGTTATCTAAAATATGAACAACTATAATGCTAAAATTTTCCTGCCTGCTAAATTGGGTTGATACAGAAAATATTTATTCACAATTCATTGAAAACCTAGGATCGTTCTTTAAAAAAAGTATTCATTTTGCTTTATTTTCAATCGTTTCTTCTGTTATCGAAACGTCGGTATCGCGACCATTCAACTACTTTTAAATATTTATTGTTTTTATTGATTTTAGTTGCATCCTTGGTCTCCAGCATACGGTTGGCTTGTGATTGGAGACGAAGTTTTAGAAATTGAAGGTCACTTAGGCAGTCAACTCACAGAAGCAGAAGCACACTCACTTGCTGAACTAAAAAGTAATTATCTCCGGTTAGGAATTAGTCGGTGAGTTTAAAAATTTATTGATGAAGTTTATATTCATGCATTTTCAAGTTTTACTCATGCTGATGAAGCAAACATTTTTTAAATTATACTGTGCAATTCACTGTGAGTGCAAGTGCTGTAAGAAAATTACATCTCAGAAGTCACTTTGGTTTTTCGAAACATCCTAGTCCTAGTGTAGTAATTCACCAGCACTCATGTGAGATCACTTTGAGGATTTGACCCAAGAAGCGCAGAGATCATAGTAAGCAAATTGAACGGACGTGCGTGACTTTTATGGTTCATTTTCTCACTTATAGTCATTTGGTAATCTGAAGTGTCTGTATCTACTTTTACCTTAAAAGGTATTGATTCTTACTCCAAATCTGGTTGGTTTCTCGCAGATTTTAGTTGTGTTCCGATTGGTACTATTTCATGCTCAAAACTACCTTTATCAAGATTGCATGTTTTCTAACCAGTAAAACAATTACAAATCGGAGTTATTTAAAAATACAAAACAAGTAATTGGAGTACAGGTAGAATTTGTTGAATTCCACAAAAACAGTGGTAAGAAAAAAGACTTTTCTGTGCAGAAATTCTTCAACACCTAAATGCCATGAATAGTAAGTAATGGAAGGATATTAGGAAAAAATTCTAAATTTAAGTATCTTATACTGGACGAAATTTACTAATATACTTCCATAAATTATTACATTGAGTAACCCATTAACAGAAAAAAACTGGATTTTCGAAACCGTTCAAAAAATACGAGATTTACAGAATAAGTTAGTATGATTTTATTTCATGAATACTCTTCACCTGCATTCATTTTAGGCGTAAAATGTTTATTAGGATCAAGGATATTTCGAATTTAAGAGATCAATAATCCCATATTGTCCAGCAAAGTCATTGATAATTCATAGAACATGTAAGAGAATTACTTTTATAGAGGTAAGAAATATAATAAAGGAAAAATAATCAATGAATAAGTAGTTATGTAATTACGATGAAACTGAAACAAGACCAAATCATAATCACCAAGGTAGTAAGAGAAAGCCCTTTATATCGATCGCTTCCGCGAAGAGCAGTAATCCAGAAATGTTCTGTACGTTTATCATTTTAAAAGCACTTATGGTCTCAACCTAGTGTCCTGTGTCTACGAGGTGTCTGGTGGTTTCAGTGGTTAAAAGTTTACTTTCTTTCAAGCACATATTCTTGAAGATATGCTCAGGAAACCGAATGGATGCCTTCCTCTCAGTCCTTCCAGTGTACTTACTACAGAAAAAGTGTTTCAATTCATAAATACAATTGCAAGTGACATGGACATTGGTATTTATCTAATTTTAACTGGTTCAGCCAGTATTGTATACTGACACAAGTTTAGCGGGTTAAAAATTATTGATTCCAACTTCTAATTGTTAAAATAGTCCACTAAGTCAATGAAATCAGCGTTTACATAAGGTAAAACTTATTACAATAAAGTCATTCGATTGAAGCACAATAACAATGATAAACTTCTGTATATATGTTTACTCGACTTCAGAGAAAGAAAGTGAATTATAATTACACATCATTTCTTAGACATGCACAATTGGTAATAACCAAACAGACTACTTGGGATAATTATAACTGATTCGCAATCAGCTGCGAAATTCATATTCCAAAGTCAGCATGAAAAGTGGTGAACATTTGATTGTCTCTTTCGTACTTAACACCGGCTAGTAACACTCAGATGGTGAATGGAACATGGGATTTGGTTAACACTTGGGTTTCTCAGATCATTCGGTCAGCCTCTGAAGACTGCGGGTTCCAATCCGTCTGAAAACATGCTTGTTAAACTGTATTGTTCCGATTACACAGTTATGTAGCTGAATAATCAGAGTGGACATTTTGTTTCATTAAACACAGTATTCATCATTATGAACAAGTCTTGAAAGTCGTGAAGAAAACTAGGCGGAAACCGAATGACTAGATGTGACTTTTTTTTAAACCATGTAAGCAGTAAGGTGTAGCCCAATCAAGCCTGTAATACTGGTCACATAAATTGGAGTAAAGTAAACAGGAGATAGCTTTGTCTGCTATCTAATTATTCATATCACTCAATAACCCATTTTGTTATTCCGTGGTAGTTTTGCCAGTTTACGATAAAAATAATATTAGCTCCAGTTTTGGGTGATTAAAATATCAACCATGTCTTCTGATGACAGATATTGGCAGTGTACGTTTTCGAAATAATATCAAAATTGCTCATATAGTCTTTAGAAAAGACTGAAGTTCCCATTTTTGCAACGTAGAAGATAAAGTTGTCAGTCAAGAGTTAGAATGGTATTTTTAGGCTGTAAATCAACTATGCAAAGATTAAAAACATGTAGTGATGCGTGCAATAGAATTCACTTCCTGAATTTATTTGAAGGCTTGTAGGGACGTATTTTTTCATTTCAAGTTGGTACTCACCATGGACTGACCCATTTAGAAGAGCATTGACAATCTGGGAGCACTTGACAATTGGTTCCTCCTGCTGTGAGACTTCTCAGCAGCCTGCACCCATGATGCCGACAGGGATCGGACTCAGAACCTTCCGGTTCCGCGCCCAGGACGTTATCATTTAGTCAGTGCGTCTTCGGTTCAATCTCTGGGCTGGTTATGGGTGCGCACTGCTGAGTCACATACTGAGATAAAACAGTTCTCCAGTGCTCCTAGGTTTTCAAAGGTTCCTCAAATGATGTCAGTCCATGCTGAATATCAGCTGTTTAGCTCAGAAAAGTGATATTACAACGAAGCTGTGTTGCACACTGCAAAACGTTCAGAAAATCTTGTTTTTATTTCCCAAATAGGGTGAGATTATGCGAAAACTTACTTAAATGGTTACAAAGAACGTTACGGAAATCGTGGTAAAATCAATTGTGACATTCGTTATCTTAATGAGCTAATTAATTATATTTGACATGAGGAATTTCACTGTAGAACGTGTGGCAAAGTACTGGCTTTCCCTTTCGTAAACATATAAAAAGAAATATCAGTTTTCTTACAATCTCATTGAAGAAAATTAGTGAGTACACACTTTTACACGGAGGCAGGTAAAGTTAGACTATAACAAATAAACTTACTGTTGCATTTTGCTGGCTTTCACTAAAACAGAAGTTCGTTTTTCAATTCATCGTTTTTTCATGAAGGATGTTTGACAACCTATATACTTTTTGTCACCAGTTGTATTGTCCACCATCTAGCTGGAATTCAATAAAGCATCTCTTATTCGAGTCTTATGTAGTAGTCAAAGTTTGCTTATTTCTTCATGGAGGTTATATTTAGAGTATAGCTCTCAACAGATTTAAAATATCAAACTATGGCTTCGTGAATTACTTGCACCAAATATTGCTATTATATCATCTAGTGACTTGTTAAACTGTAACAGCTACTTCTAAAGCTTAGTAATTAGTGTTTAGATTGCTTTATATCAGTGAACGTTAAATATTATACTTGTAAATGTGCAGATATCTGGTACATACTTGATAGATTTCATTTTTGATAGTTTTGTTACGAAAATCCGGCCATTTTTTCAAATCTTTAATAATTCAGTCAGGTGAAATTAAAAAGAGTGAAGTGATCTTAGCAACTACGTATACACTCATGCAGTAGGCAATGAACTACACCTATTGTGTGACGGCTAATGACACAACCAGACTTTCCAAACCTCAGCAGTTAGAGCAGCATTCAAACCTGTGGCATATCAGCTAGAAATCGAATAACTGAACCAGTGATCCCCAGTTCAGTTCAGGAAAAATATTCACTGTTGTGGGTGCAGTGTGGCATAACAGCAACTTCATCATCATGTTCTGAATGATGTACTCGAGTTTTTATGGTTGTAACTCAACTTCTGTAACCAGTCAGTTTCTGTTTCGTCAAAGTTTAAGTAGACTTGTTGATATGAAAACGATTACTGAAGTGTTCGCAAAGACCCATCACCTAACTTATAAATAGAAGGATGAAAGTTTAAATTTAATGGCCATTTTCGTTTCCTTTTAAGTTTTAATATCACCAACTATCACTCTAAAAGAAAAATGTGATTTCACAAAATCAGTATGTGTTCAATCCTATTAGTGTGGAACTGAGAATTGCCTACAGTTAGAAGAAATTGTAAAAGGTTGTTCGTCATTTTACTAAAAATATTCGAGATATGATTTTTTTTCTGTCCCGAATTCAACAGAGAAATCAGCACTAATCTGGTGAAGAAATAACGATTGGTAACCAACCTTTTCAGTGTGAAGATAAAATTCTCTAGCCCCTGACCTCTGAACTACGAAATCACCTTTTATTTCAGCCTCATTAAATAGTTAAGTATGAACTATGCGTGAAGAAATCGGATGTGTAATGTTTTATAGCTGCTCATTCATAAGCATACTCCTTTCTCTGAAAGAGCCTAATTCTGACCTGAGTAACTTGCTAAAAATTGCTAACCTGGGAACTGAACCAATTAAGTTTAAACATCTTAGAAAGTAACAGTCTCCTTTAGGTATACTATATGTCTCAAGGGTCAGTATCAGCAGTGATCGAATCTAGGCCTAAGATATTCTACTTGACAGCATAAAGAATTAGCTTCTGTAGAAATAAGAAAAGACTGAACGATTAAGGCTAATTTTTATTTTTTTTCAGCCAACCAATGTTTAGCAATCAGTATATGGGTACCAGACCAGCCTCTAGGAATCTTTCGAGAGCTGCTAGCACAACAGTCTATGGTCAAGCCGGACCGTATTCACGAATTAACACAGTAAGTTTGCAATTACTTAAATATCGCATTTTCTGATTCATAAAATGTTGCATTTCATTTTGAAAGACAGTTAAACTGTGCACAGGTGAAACACTTATTCATATTCTTGCAGCATTCTTTATCAGAACATTTACGAAATTCTAAAACTTTTCCAAAGGTTCCTTGGACTGTTCATTAGATACTTTTGTTCTGCATGATGTTGAGAAATTACTTAGGCTTTGACATGAAATGAAATCATGAAAATACTTTGCTGACAAGGAATGATAATTTCTACGCAATGTTAGCCATAAATATATCCATTTAAAAATTAACTTATAATTCTGACTATGTACTGAATTGACTAAGGATTTTAGCTGACTGCCATCATAACTATACAGGCTTTAAAAGCTGTCCAATGTTGTTTTGATATGCCGAAAACTAATATCCAAACAGAATATGGAGAAAATTTATCCACAGGTTGGCTGTCATATCATTCAGCTTCTTCTTACTTGTAGCCAAACTTAAACTTACAACACAACAGATTTAGACCAGTCAGAGAGAATATCTACGGAATTCGGAACTCGTTACCATGAGAACACGACCGAGAAGTAATCACAACTAACTGTTTTTACAGATTGCATCCCATTTAGTTGCTCTAAAACCAAGTTACCGATTTTGTATAATGGAGGTGATCTCAGAAACCATATGTTTTCCGTAGGATCGTTTCTCCGTTAAAACTAAATGGCATATTATTAAACCAAGAAGTGAAACTGTATAATGACGACTTTGACTGTGTCAAGAACTGTCTCAACTGAAGTATACGCATGTTTTCATTTAAAAAATGTTTTAGCCTTAGTTTAGTTTATATAAATGGTCACATCCGTGTACTAGTATACATCACATGTTGAGGTAAAGTTTCAATAAATACCTAAACTGGACTTCGTCAAATATCCAGCACCTTAAGAAGGTAAATTTAAAAATTATTTTGACCATAACAGAAGCCCTCTAAAGCGATCAAATCAGTACAAAGTAATTCAGTGAAGAAAATGTCTTTTCAATGAACCATTTTTAGTCGCATTACAAATGTATTTATCGTAATAACACGTGAGTCAGTTATTGGCTTACAGGTCAACATAAGGTACTGAAAATGAAACGTTCTACAAGGAGACAGCGAAGTGTTTCTGGAGTCAAAAATATGTTGCGTAATCACAGGCTGCGCAGTTGGTCAAAATGATGACGAAAAGACTAACAATATATAATAATAATAATAATAGAAATGACAGTAAAATATTACCAGAATTTTGATGGGAAATAGGGACTAGCACGTACAGACGTAGGAAAGTAAATCAAAAAGTACAAACAAAAGTAACCGGCAAGAGTAAAATGATTATTGAAGCAACAAAAAAAACAATGATTACTACCACAGAAAAATACCAGAATGGACTTACATCTGTACGCATAGCTTGGGCAGTTAATGTTGGGTTATCACCACTAATGCGATGAATAAATAACAAGTCAGTATTACTTTTGAACTCTTCGGTTTGACTTGTATAGGATTCTGAAAAAAAATGTGGAGAAGCGAAATCATTAGATTTTACTTAACGGTTTCGGATGGAGGTGTGAACAGTTAGGCAGGGTAGTGGTGGATTATGCGCTTGGAAAGATTGTGCTTAACTCATTGTGCATTCTCATTTACACAAGAGAAGGTAAACTGACAGACACATTTGGATGTTGGTTGCAATGGTAGTTTGAATCAGCCGTCGACTGAGGAAAATTCTTCATAAACTGGCAGCATAGAATGTTCCGCCGTTTGTTTTCTATAGGCGAATGTTTAATAGTTCTACTCTGGTGTCTACCTTTCAATTCAGTATTAATAAATAAAATTTTCTTAGGAACAGTAATAACATGTTATTGTCTCTGTTCTAGCTACCTTTCTTTTTCACTGAATCTTAAGGATAACTGCTCTGAACAAATATTGATCGAAGTTAGTCCATCTTTATGTCTTTTGTGTCGTATGCATGCAGATTCTTCTTATTCTTGAGAAAAGTGAATAATTTAAGTGCTTTTATTGGCTCAGAGATACCAAACATTAGAAAATAGTTTTTTGTCTAGGACAGGTAAGTTTGCTGTAGGCTGAAGTTTTAGGAGGCCCACTAGGTCTTCTCTTCAGCTAGATATCAGGAAAATTAAATCCTGAGTTGTCCTCAACTTCTATCGTGAACTCAGTTGAGGGATGACAATCACTGAGTCTCAAAAGTATGAAATATAGACTTGTTTTCTCACCACAAACCATGAAAGCATCATCCATGTGTCTTACTTATGGATGAAACTAATCAGTAACTAACAGTATTAGGTGTTTTTTTTAAGTTGACCACAAAGAAGAGGTCTCAGTTATGAATTCATTAGTGAATCTTAATTCAGTGATAAGTGTCTCACAGAAGTAGTTTCTATGGATAGTGAGTTCGGAAACTGACTACTAGCTTGTTAAGTTCTACGTAATTACATAGGAAACAGGATGGTCTTTGTGAGTGAAACATTTGTTAAGAGTGAAGTGTATTCGTGAGACAGCATTCGCTTTCCTGTTACAATGAGGTTAGGTATGGAATTGACAAAATCGAATCATTCAAGTGAAGTATATCTGTCAGATTGATTTCTCACTGGTTGAGATATTGTTGTCACACCGACTTCAGCTTCTATGTACTTAACTGATAGCAACCCAGTCCCTAAGATATCGAACGCAGATTTCGCCCTATCGGCAACTGTTAGATCTTAGCATTTCAAACAAACTTATGAAAGTCCATACTGTTACGTATGTTGATAAACTGCTAAAAAATAGAGGTTAGAATGAGACTAAGTTATAAATGAACTGATGTTAAATGTAAGTATAGGTTTACAGCTCCCTACTGTAATGTTTTGCTTATTCATGATACTGAGTAAACGAAACGCTACCAGTAGTAACTGTTGTGCTGGACTTTATAATTCTCCAGTAAACGCTTTTGGCTATTTTGGTAAATCCAATAAGATAACTTGAGTTTTTGATTACCCTTGATCTATTGCAAACAGAGCTGTTAGCCTTCTGCATTGTAGGATTTTGCAATACCCACAAACATGTACCATGAAAATCAGCTGTGCATTATAAGTCTTCTATCAACCTACCCACAGACTTTAATCCGATAACAAATGAACAAGTATGACATACTACGGAATAAATCACCTACTGAGAGATGATTACACTTAGTTACACACTTCTTAGCCTAAAGTAGTTTCATTTTTATTAACCACTAAGCAATCTACGGTAAAATGAAATAGTTTCCGGCTTTCAAACTTTATAAACACTCTGCATTCAGTATTGAAAGTATATAATTTTTTGTGATTCATTTACTGTTATTTCATGTGAAAATAAATATAGCAAGCACCACAACAGAGACCGGTTAACGCTAGGGATACTGATGACGCTGAACCAGATGAAGTTGACTACAGCTTTATGAATCTTCCAGTTCGAGAAAGAAGAAAACTATTTCTTGGAGGAGGTGTAGCACCAACTGTTCAAAGAGGATATTCACATTCACTGACAAGTAAGACGTTCCGAACCGTTTATATTTTCAGCCCATTTAAAAAAGTTAGCTTTTGGAATGTCAGACATTTTCACTCATTCTAATCTATGCATAACAATGACTGATATTATTTTTCAATGATGGTTAGATTTTATGATGGACTGAAGACAACTTTTAATACAAAACAGTTTCATTGAGAAATTTTCCAATGTCGATAGCATATACATCATCGAACCGAGGACCCATGGAAGAGAAAGAAGTTGAAATGGGTTCACTTTGCCCAACAACTCAAGTTTTTCCACGGAGATAGCTAGAATTAGGGTGAAACGGAGAAAGAGAAGTTATGTGAGATGTGCAACGTTCCTTCTTACTTTGAAAATAACTTTATGTACACTTTTCCTGGAAAGTGAATGAACGTCTTTGATGACAAGGCATATTCAGAAGCTCATTTTGAACCATTACAGTAAATAATTTCCTTTCATACTTTCAGTAGAGTATGTGAAATGATGTATGCACATAGAACAGCTTCTTCTTCTTCTTCCTCCATAATGTTTTGCAACGTCCTGAACCAATTACTGTCACGTCTGATTATTTACATCATGAAAAATGTCTAAAACACGACTCTTAAGAAAGCAGTTAAACAGTATTGATGCTGACACTTGCCAGCGGAGTAATAACTCTTTGTAATCAAAAGATTTCTGCTCTTGAAGGTGTTTTTCTCGTCCCTTGTTACCAGTCGCTTATTTTTGTTGCTAAGTAATCACTGAAATGTCATAAAAATTGACAAATACAAGTATCAGTTCGGTGATAATCAAGATTTACTCAAGCAACTGGACATTATGTTCATTCTGAATTCATAATGTGGTCATTATATTTGCACCAACCACTTTTATCAGCTAAATTGCGGTGTAAGGTTGAAGTTTTCGAGTGTGTTCTTTGATCATCAGTCTACCCCTATCCTAACATGAGCCACTACTTAAAACAAAGACATTTATGCTGCCATGAAATTCTGAATACTTGCCTTACATGTGGTTAACTAGAAAAAGACTTTGCAAACAACAAATTTACTCAACAAATGAAGTTAATGTTAACCTTTTCCATGCATATCTGTCGCCATGTAATTATTAATTACCCATTTACACCTTTTTAAAGTAATATGTGTCAGCAACCGTTTCTCTTTGAACGTTTAACGATTCAGTGGAAATATCTAGAGCGGATTTTATTGATAAAGCTGTGTTTTAGCTTGGTTGAAACAAAACAACGTGGCCTTTTTGTCACAAAAATTTCTGTCGTTCATATCTGTCGTACCCTGCAGACTTACGTGAAAAATCACCTGAACCTACCTCATACTAACTGTTTGGCTAAGGTATGTTGCCTTAGCCAAGTTTAAGTGATAAAATATAGCTAATACGTACAAATTTGTTTTAGTCTATCTTACTCGATAAACGCTGATAGCTTACAGTGGCGCTGCTTCAAGTTAGATGGAAGCTTGAAGCGTAACACAGTTCTAGCTAGAAGAGCGGTTATGATTGGTCTAACTACTGTATTCAAACTTCGAGCCAAATCTAGTTACTTTTTGGACCATACCAAGTACAGATGCTTGAAGTGACCTACTATGTATGAATGACATTTTTCTCACAATCGTTTACTTATGTTCGACATTGTAGCTCTCACGGAAATAAAGCAGAGACTTTCGCACACGGTTATGTGACTAGCAGTTCAATCCTGATATGGCTTGACTGGCAGGTATGCAGATTGAGTATCTGTTAAAACTGACTGCCTTAAATGTCAACCAACAGAATACAGCTGACTCGAGTGCGTCTTAATTTAGCACAACAGATTAGATTATTATAGCAAGCATTCCAGTCTAACATACAGCAATGATAAGCACGAGTCAACCAGATTCCACCCGCATCAGTATTCTGAATCACTGGCCACAAAAAATGAATGTTTGTGAAAAATGCATGCTCTGCCCAGTCCCCGTGTAATGATGATGATGTGTAAATGGATACTGGATTGAGTATTTGCCATAACTTGAACTAAGTGGATATATAACTTTCAACACCGAAGTTTATGCTAAAAACCGCTAGATGCGCAGCCTTTCCTCCCCTAAAGGTTGATGTCACTATTATTAGTGCCCTTAACAAAACTATTTTCACTTTTGAAATTAAAGATATCAGAAAATAAAGTTAATAATAAATAAAGAAACTAACTAGATATTTCCTGAATTACATTTAAACACTTGGAATACAATTGTCAATTCATCTTTTTCAAAATTTCACATAAACGCAAATGTAAAGGATTATATTGATCTTTCTATCTAAATAACATTTTAACAACATAAGAAAATATCTTTGGTTAGAAAGAGACACCAGTTACACTTGCGCATTCCATTTTGAATCCTCTGTTTCACTTCTGTATTCATCTTAGAATTTGTATGCGTGGGTATAGAAGTTACATTTCTAGACTGCATTCAGCTTTGTATCCGTGCTGGAGAAGAAGTTTTGTTTAGACTTAGAAACTCCCTCCTACAAGATATGTTTGGTCAAATGAATGACATAATTTTATCAATATTTAGAGATTTGTTAATAAAAATATGTATTCGGACGCAAACATACAATTTTACACCCTAAAGTCTACTTTATGTGATAAAAATAGTTGATGGCTTACATAATATTGGAGTTTTTGATGGAAGTGACTAAAGATAAAGGTCCAGAAAGGCACATTGAATGTTAAGGAAAGAAACATTAATTCTTCTTAGAACATAGAGAAATAAACAGACTAGACCAAAGTAACTCATTAATCACTTTTATCAAGAGAAATATGAGAATTAGATGGCATTATCGCTCATTTACAAGTATAAATAAATTCAACAAGTTTAAATAAAAATCCAAGGTATTTATTAAAGAAGATAAGTATCTAAGTAACTTCAGTGTGAAATCATAACTTTGACCTCCTGCCTTTGAAAAGTTGCTTAAAACACGAAAAAGAACGATTTAGTTCATAAAGCAAACAAATACTATTCTAGAACTGCTTGGAATGATAAAAATGGTTATGAAAAGATATATATATATATATATATATATATATATATATATATATATATATATATATATATATATGTAAACACTTCTTTATAGATTCCTTTACAATGAATGTTAGTTACTGCAATACACAGAAATAAACTAACTCCGAAGCCTACTCAAGCCAATGAAGATTCAGTCTGAGTAACCATTAAGCATGACTCATGGGAAATGGAATGAATACCATATTTATAATGTCATGTAAATGTAAAACAACTACAAAAACCCTTAATATTGTTTACTTGAATTGAATATGAACAATAAATTATGTTCGAAATGTCATTCACTAAATAATCCTGTTTGTGTGAAATATCGAATCAACAATCTACTATGGAACCATACACTATCAGAGTATCCATATTCTACTCTGACTCAAAACCCTTTTTGAAAATAAGATGTAACTGATATCTGTTCATACCATTCTTAGACCAACAGATCCACTAACTTGGATGTGTGTAATAATAGTCGCAAAACTTGTGTATCATGCTATTTGTGTGACTAATGTGATTTACAACAGTATTTCGAAAATCAAAATGCCATTCTTTAACCTAGAATCGCTTGGTTCTATCATGAAGGGAAACTTGCTGTCAAAAGCTGGCTGTGCAAAGTATTGATCTAAGCAGTTCTGCTCTACGCTCATAAACTGTGACGAATACATATGTGACTGGGACGACATCAAAACACTTGAAAGTGAAAACGTCACCAGAGAATTCTAAAAGCCTGGCACTGAAGCAAATTCCTAATAAATCACCGCGTGGTTTACGAAGCTATTCGAAACGAAACCAAATACAGGACTCACCAGATTTAAATTTGAGAAAGCCGTCAACGCAAGCAAAAGGGAAATCACCAACGGCTAGATCAATATGCTTACATACAACTAACCAAACTTCTCAACTCAATGAATCAATATGAAAGGGATTTCCTTCTCCAGCAAAATCTAACCAATTAGCAGTAGCAATTAACACCCCCCCCCAAGTTAGGGGAGATCGACAAGCCTACGCAAATCACCTCACTCCAATCCAGACGAGCTGTCCAATCAGATCAAGAAAACCTTCATCACCTCAGTTTGACAAACGCATCAACCAATCAGGTCGAAGTAACCCTTGCTAATTCATTCAAACAAAGAGGACCAACCAGTTACAAATAAATGACTTCAGTGTACTGCAAACAAACAGAGGAGATCAAGCAGTCACATAGCTTCATAACTCTTTGAGAAAAGAGAGGCAGGAAGTTAGCCAATCAAGTTCGGCGTACTCTCACACTTATCAAGTGACTAATCAGGTCACGCCGAGTCGAATTAGCCCACTATAAATATCCATACACAACTACTTCAATTTTTTGTGAAGATTTGATGCACTGGTTACGATGTCCAGCATGACATTGAAAGACTTAGCTCAAAAAAATTCATTCTGAACGAATGAGAATAGTCATTTTTGCAAAAGGTTATCCTTAAACATTGGCTTCAAATGCTTTGAAATGTGTAGCCAGTATTACTGCAGGGACTTCTACAGTGTTCGTTCGCTCTCTGAAAGATTGGAAACAGAGGATAGACGGTCAGTGGATGATGTGGCACCATGGTATGAAGGATATTTGCGTTGAGTAAACAAATGTTGGTGTCTCGTGACTTTTTAGTCTGAGTCCAAGTGGCCTTGAATTTCAGTGAATCAGGCGGATAGTAAACAAGTGATGGAAATAGTGATTCGGTTTTTTTCTCTTTCCATTATCAAAAAGTTAAGTGGTATTAGTGATGGTCTTTGTGAATGCAAGTTTGAAGCTACTCTTTTATGATTCCTTTTTAACTTTTGCTGATATCTTGTATTTTTTTTCTCGTCATCTGGATCCTTTCTGTGTCTTCTCAATATTGTTATGTTGTTTGTACGGCACATTTTACGTTGTGTGAACCAACTTTATGTTTTTCATAGTAAATAAATAAAAGAATACTCAGTACATCGTTGTAGATTTATCCAATTGTATGCAATGAATATTCTATCCCCTGGAGGGGATTTCCTTACAGTTTTTTCATCTGTTCTTATTTAATTTGATCGTGCCTTCTCCTGTTTGATTTCCTTCCACTGGTCTTTCTGCATTTTGGTAAATTCAAAAAATATCGTATGATGTCAGTGTCCATGTTGCTTTTTTCTAACACAGTTTTCAAGACGGATTTTAACTCAGTGAAGCTACGCGAAAAACAGAGTAAACATGGTAAGAAAAGGTCTTAGTATTCCGTTTGTGCAGTTTGACTTTAATCTAGCTTTAACAACCGGTAGTGTATCCAACACACTGCATTATCCTTCAAGTTAAAGTTCTATTTATTCATCTTCTCCCTTTTCCAAGCCAGGCACACAGTCATTTTAGTGTTTTAATGTGGTTCGATGCCGTTGTATGCTGCAGCAACTTGTTCAGAATTCAAGTTTCTGGAATTAGAAATAAAGACTGAATGCTCTTCAGTTATGTTTAACCAGTCTTAGCTTATCAGGGTAGATATGTGTTAGGAATGCATAGTCAGACGCCTTGTATATTAAGTCGTTTCGTGGTTAGATCTACTCCGTCTCACCTTAACTAGCAGCTAAAGTGAGAAGGTCCAACTCATAGTTACGTCAAACTGTAGATTAGAAAATGGTAAACTTACTGCTGTCTAAATGAAACGTATAAAAACTTTCAAGGCTGTGTTCGATGGCATGAAGTGTTGACCATAAAACTAAAACCTAATCACAACACTAGCATTCCAAAACGAATTTACCGCATCTACAAAACTCCAGAGTATCTAGAAATGTTTCTAGTTAACTGACATAGCGCTTGTGAGTTTGAGTTACTTCCAACTTGCGGCTTTTAACTACGCTACCTCAATGAATTGCACAGTTAAATATGAATGCTAAACTGTCACTTGAATAAGACTTTGATTTCAGTCAGAGTGGCAGGTGATTTTTCTTTTTACATCACTATCTGCAAACAAAAACTTCTAGGATACTGAAATACATTTATAATCGATATCTTTGATTTCAGTGCCGAGGAAAAGGAGTGACGGGCACAGCTATCAAAATCGTTTCGAAACACAGTCAGAATACGGTGGGACAGATCATAGCTATGCATGGGATATTCCTGTTACACCTTCTTGGATTCAACAGAGTCGTAGTGCTAACATCACTTATGAACCGACAAAGTCAAGGTCAACCAAAACATTCAGTCTATCAATGACACCTGGGGAGAAGTCATTTCAACAACAAGTCACTCAGTATGCTGCCCGTCCACCTTCACCACATTACAACCAGGTGTGTAGAACTTTGAGATTACTAATCATACCTTTTTTTATATGCTGCAGACCAAATCGTTACAAAAGCCAGTTGAAAGATATTTATCAATTCAGTGATATTGATAATCGAGTTATATATGTATATTATACATTTAAAAGTGATTTACGTGAATCAGTATGGAACATTTATCCATCATCTGAATAATAAAATAAGTGGCCTATAAAATCGTCAGGAAAAGACTGATGTGTAAATTTATATTGATGGTATTTGTAAGATAAGCATACCTAAGTAATGTAGGACAACACACCAGCTAATTACTGTAGTATAGGAAAAACCCTTTGTTATAAAGATACTAGAAACATTTTCTTAGCAATTTGGTTTACTCTTCCAATGATTCCGTCCTAGTACCTGGACTGTTAAAAGAAACATAAGCAATAATAGTTTGTTAGGTAAGTGAGACGTTTGTTTAAGGGAAATAAAGTTGACAAAGGTTAGGAAATCGGTTTTGGAAGGGATATCTCAATCTCAGAAGTCAAAATTATACTGAGTTATAATGGTTAAGAGTCCAACGACATGTTTTTACCAATAATGATGATAGTTCAGTATCATAATTAGCCTGTGTGCCATCAAAGAAGAAATGTATCATCTGCTTGTGTTCGTCGCTTAAAGGATTAACTATTTAATACATTATTAGTTTATCTATTCATAAAATCAAAAAAATTGCAGCATCAGTTATCATGCATGTCCCGTCACGAAATTGTGTTCTTGACCCAGTAAGAAGCACATTGAGACTACTAAGTGCTTTGGCTTGTATCACAAATTACGCTTCAGAAGAGTGAGAATTTAAGCAAACTAAATAAATCTATCAAATACGATATAAATCTCAGTGCAATAAGTAAATGATAGGAAAAAATTAGGTTCGAGTTGAAAATAACAATGTATTCATTAATAACTGTTGTTTCCCTACCTTGGTAACGTATTACTTCAGTGACTAGCAGACATATCAAATGATTATACATAAATTTAGAAATGATCATAATTTTAAACACCTAAAAGTATGATTGCCTAATTTCTTCCGAAAGGTTCAACGAAGCCATAAATTGCATAAAATGGTTATCTCCACAGTGCAACAGTATTCATCAAATTTCACAGTTAATAATCTCAATATCAGTTGTTGACTTGAAATGTTGGTTTCATTTAAGTTATTTCTTTTGAAAAAGTGTTGTGTGACAACCAAACGGTAGCAGAGGTCTATATGAATCAGGAGTGGACCAGCAAATGAAGAAAATTTAAAGATAAACCAGGAAACTTAAACAAAGAATCCTAATTGCCATACCAATTTGATCTACATCAGAAATGCAGAAAAGTCAGAAATTCTCCTTTTTACCCTGGTCTAGGGTGTCTTTTTCTGAAACTAAAGAGAGTTTATGGAACAACTTTATAGGTCCTAAAAAGTATGCATTTTTAAATATGCTTTCTACAGGGAAACAGCTCTAGAGCTTTGCTGCCAACTTCATGAATAGTTCTGAAATTTTATCAGCTTTTACCATAATAATGAAGATCAGAAGGAACAAATTTTTATTTTTTCTCTTTCAATAATTTACGAAAATCACCATTTTTTATTCTGAGATTTTAATTGTGAATATCAGTTGAATGATCGATTTTCACAGGTGAATTGTGTAACAGAATTTAAATTCTGTTTCTGCCATCCAAAAATCTCACAACTGTTTGTTTTATGACGATAATTAAAAGAATATTCATAAGACAATTTTTACAATTAGAACACATACAAAACTTTTGGAGCGCATAAAAACGATCAGTCAGAAGTTGACCAGTGATTTCATCATCAAGCAGCTGTACAGTACACCAGGCAGGAATTCTTTCAAAATGAAACACGCACAGTAAAACAAAATCAGTTCGACAACTTTAATTCTTCGCCATTAGTCAATGACTGTCCTAAACTTCTAAATAAAATACGTTCATGTCAGACAACACTTTGACTGTAACTGTAAGAATACATTTATAAGAATGAAATTCATCACTGTCAATAAAATCTTAGAGCATATAAAAAAGAATTAGAAAAATGGTTGGATAATTCACACAAATTGGTTGCACAAAACACTAGACCCTTCAAACTATTGCTATTACTAGGCGATTGTTTTCATCAAATTTTAAAGAGTGGCGATTTCTACTTCGGTAGTTTTAGTCCCTTTTGTCAATCCAGTAAACAAATCCTATCATTTTTCTACTGGTTGCTAGTTATCAATAGTGAGTTTAACTTAGGTGTGCACGTGGTTATTCATCTTTGCAGGGAATGATGGTGAAAATATTATGCTTCTAGAGTCAACAGTGTAATCTGCTTTGAATCTTTTATGCATAAAAAGGAAAGACCATGAAATTTCCCTATTGTGTTTGATAGGTTTATATCAGTAGCCTTGACTTCCACTTTAAAATTTACAAAAGTCATAAACATGGGCTTCCATACTTTACAGAGAAGGTATTCCACTCACTGTTGATCACGTGTAACCATACTTTAAAATCAGTCAGAATGGCGAGTCCTAGTTATCAGGGCACGTAAATATTGACATACATTAGGAAGGAAATGTGAAATGTAGTGTGAAGCCTAAATGATGACACAACGCAACATATACAATTTCATAGAGCAAACAAATTCGTGATCTAGTTACCCTTGTAAGTGGTCCACATAAGTTTTCTTGTCATATTTATCTTCCTACATGACCATTTCTCTTTCAACTTGCGAAAATAAAATATTTACATTCATCTGGTGAATCTACCCAATAAGATGTACGCATGTAAGCTAGTGTACTGACCTAGTTTCTGGGACACATTATAAAAGTGATCCTATTTTAACCTTTCCTACGAGGATAGGAAATATTTATCCCTAAATCTAGAAATGAATGTCTGCATCCAGTTTATATACACACGTATACAAGTATACGTGAATCGGATTTATCCAGGTCGACCTCTGGGAAAATTCCTTTTTCAGTAAAGCGAAGTAGTTGAAAAAACTATGCGTTGGAGTTTTGTTATATAAAAAAAGTGAGAGGGTTTTAGAAGCCATAGTACCTTTTTTAAGCAGTGTGCATTGTCTGTCAACTAGGATAGGATCAGACTTTCTTTTTGTCACTTTTTATCACATAGTGACCGTCGTCATCCATTAACGTTCTAAATATTCTAATTAAGATGTACAGGAAAAACTTAAAGGCATGAATTTTCTTTTGGCAATGTTACTCTTGACGGCTGCACACACATCTCAACAAGACTAATGTCTGACTCTAATAGTGAACGATATTGATACTACTTGAAAATTCCTAATTCTTGATAGGCTTCATTCAAGAAAATAATAAGGGAATGATGGTTCCATAGGAAGCGTCAAAAATTTGAATTTGTTAATAAGTAACGAGAACAAAAGCTAGACACTAACTCCTCTGTAATTCTGTATCCCACACTTTCACAACCTGAGTCGATTTTACGTAGAATCGAGTGTAAACACTATTGAATGGATATAAACTACAATTTGACAGCGATCTAGTACCCCCTTGTTTTTCTCACTATTCATTAGGTGATTCCCTTCATGATGAAACTTGTATTCAGACAATACCAAATAAATCTATAATCACATTGAAACTCACTAGGACAGTCAGAATATAAAAAGACCATGGCTTCAGTTTTCTGAGTTTTTTATGAACAGCTGCTTTCGTGCACACATTAGTGACTATCTACCATTTTTTAAGTACCCACTATGAAGTGCAATGTTTCTGGAAAGAGTTGTAAACTTTCAAGGGAATATTATAATAGAAGTCATGTAATGTCCAGTTTATGCATTGCTTCTACAAGTATCTCCTGGTTTATGAAAATTACACAGTTAAGACCATTTTGATTCTGGATGCCTGTAGAAACATCGAATTTGGGAATTTTATCATCAACTCTGATGCAGTGAATTGGAATCATATCCATATATCATCATATTCAGTTTAAAGACAAAAAGCACTGGCAAATGTCAGTATAAAGAAAACGTGCAAACGGTGGACTGAATTTCTTCCGTTTTCAGCTACTTAAGCCTAATATTCACATTTGTAAGCAATAAGAACTATTCATAATCCAGCTAGCAGTTGAAATGGCACTATCATAAATGGTGCGGATATACTTGACGCCATTAGTCATATCAAACTAAGAGTTTACCAGAATCTCATTTATTAATAGGATAGACATAATAGTGTTCACCTGCGTTACTGATACCAGTTTAAGGGTGCTGTGCAATAGTACAGTTATTATTTGCAGAATGAACTTACCTAATATTAATGTGAATAACAAATTATATCGAAAGCATCATTTGTAAAGTAATAAGCCATCATTGTGTGCTCTATTAGACAAAGCTATGTAATGTTTACTTTCGATCACCATTGCTGCTCGTTTTTATAAAAATATCGATGGCGATAACGGCCTTTACCTCCGAATAACGATATCGTTCATCGTAAACATATAGTTTCATCTCTCAGTGTATCTCTTTATCTTGCAAACTTAAAATGAGTGAAAAGTATTCAAAGAAATCGTAGGTGTTAAGTGCTTTAACCAGCAGACGGTTGAATAAATCGCAAAGTATTTTATAAAAGCATTTCTTGCTTTTCGATAAGTTAGTGATTATCTGTTATTTATTGTTACTAAGTAAAACATAGTTAACTCCAAGGTGGTACTCGTCACAGATTAAAATCAGTTAGAGAATCACTGAAAACACTTTCATTCAAGTATGGGACTCCTTAGTAGTTCGCCTTTATGTTTGGTTTATGGCTTAATTATTAATATACATTAAAAATAGTCTGAGTGACAATGCTAACCTGTTGAAGTAATTTAACAGTATGTCTTTATTCTTGCACTTGAGATTCATTAGGTGCAGTTCCTTTATTTAAGCTTGCCGGATTGTCATTTCCTTATTAATTCACCACTAAGTTTCCCTTGGGTTAAAAATAAGGTTTAATAAAGATCAAAGTAACCTCAAACGATTCAGATGAAGAGATGACATCCACCGTGTAAATACTAACCTTATGTTACTTTTGCATACTTTGAAGTTCAATAAAGTGTTTGAAATGAAGACTGATGAAAGCGTAATTCAGATGTATCAAGATTAAGTAGGTATCTAGTGAAGTATTAAAATTTATCTTATGCATAAGTGCTATTTTTACTGCTTAATTGAGGTTATTTTTTATGAAAACTTATGCAGGATTTTTATGCGAAAGGAATTATCTGTAATAATCCCTTTTTCTAAATCAACACATGCACACACAGAATTCGTCACCATCTTCGAACTATTTCAACGCTGTTCAGCCTAAATCAAACTATGGATATAATTACCCTCAGTATTCTGCTACGATACAAGTTCAAGATCCATATCCCTCTACGGGGAATAATCCAGCTGGACGAGTATATAATGGGAATGCAACACGTATTTATCCAGCTAGACAGTATAGCTCAGGTGCATCGTCTGCCAGAGCAATCACACCGTCTACAATTTATCAATCATACAGTCAACATAATTCTCTGTCACGTGGTTCTGGTAGAGTTGTTCAACCTTTACGCGTAAATGTATACAACAGGTTAGTTAAAAATTTTCAACGTACGTTAATTGTATATTAATTGGCTAAACTTATCCTTATGATTCTCGTATTTATGTGACGACGGTATTACTGAATGACTTTCGTAAAATGTTTTATGACATGGGACATATGTGGTGATCGAAAAGTAGTCGTTCAATCCTTACCGATTCTACTTGTCTAATTTATGTTTAAATACTCCTGCAAGGAATACATTTGCGAAAATATTATGAAATCAGATTAAAAGCTAGAACCTAGGGTCCTTCCTGGATCCACAGGATCCACGAAGTGATAATTATACTCAAACCGATGCATTACTATTGTGTTTCCATATTGCTTCCTAACAGAGAATGTTTTGAATAAAGCAGTTCCGCCTGATCTACCATTAAGTGTTTTGTTTTCAATGAATGATTTCTATTCAGTTCACACCCCTGTGTCAACATTATTATTACTGTCATTATTTTCCTACCTAAAGTCGATATGGCCTTTAGGCTGAACTATTATCCAAACTCATAGTTAATCATCTGACTTATCCCCAACCAATTCAGTTTTGAAAATCCACTTCTACCTTATGCATTACCATTTGACCTTCAAAAACTGTTTATTTCTATGTTGTAACACCTCAATCGATGTGTCAGTCTACGTTATATATGTATATATGTATGTTCTCTTGCACTATTTAGCAGTACGTATAATCAAGTCTGTAGAGTATTCAGTTGACGAGTACTACTGAAATTTATAAATCCATCAAATCCTGCTTTTGTTATATTCGCTGCTTGTTTTAACACCTATTTAACTGACTCAACTGTACACAAAATTTATTTCATCATTCTTAAGATCATGGTAAATTTATTGACTGAGAATTGAACAACGCTGTTTCGAATCTTTGTGGGTACTTGAAACGTGCATGTATTTATAACATGATGCATAACAGCATTAATACAAAAAGAAAATACACCTTAGATTATTATGTATACAATAATTCAGTGTGAAGGATTTTAAGAATTATGGTATCATATGAAATATTTTGTCTGGATTTAAATGTTTCAATTTTGTTGTTGAAGTCTACGTTTCTGTATAAATAGATACCTTTACCAATCATCTGATGCCTGATAATATATGCTTTAGTTCATTTTAAAATGTGCGTTCATAGTTTAAAAAATGTCTATGCAAAGGACAGTCAACAAACAGAAACTTATATGAACAGAGGAATTTAGATGATATTATGGTCATCACGTAAACAAATTTGAAAGGCGACATGATATTAATGTACTTTTAGTTGAAATATTTATGTAGGGATGTGTGCCTACTCGTATTAAGAAGCTTACAAGCACTGGAATCTGCAGTCAGTCATATTCCTACACAGAATGGAATTATACACTTTCTTCGTGGCTGTGGTGAATTTTATCTGTTAATTAGACAGTTATATAACGAAGGGAGTACGTAAGCGTTTCCCGTGCCAACTGACCACAGGTACTGTTGAGCAAAATCAGGCTGAATGATTATATTGTGGTCATTTTGTTTAAATTTATTGTCACTAATTTGATTTTATCTGGAACCTGCAAGTGACAATCTGTTTAAAGCAAAGTTTTGGATATTATGACAATTACTTATAGTGATCCTCAAGTTTTCAAGTTTTCAGAGTTCTGCCAGCGTTTTGCCAGCTACGTTGATCACTTCACATAAGTTCATCCTTTAGAAATATGAGAAGTAAAGGCAACTACCTCTCTTTTTGGGTTGTTAATGAGTCTGAAAAAAATTCTTTTAGTAAAAGTTGTGTTTTGAAATATTCTTCACCACTACATACCTTTTTTTCTGAACTCTTAACTATTAGAATTTTGAGCGATAATTCCGGATAGAAATGTGCACTAAAAGTTGTCATTGCTAAGGTTTCAACACTTAGAAGGTATTACAGCAGGAAACAAAAAAAGGAGCGTTGTACACTTTTAGTTTAGGAAGTCGCTAAACCTATGAAGTAAAAAACTCAAAATATGTTGAAAATCTTGAATGAAAGATATCAGACAATTAGTCTGGAACTCATATGTAGTAAAACTGGCTCAGTTTGTATATTAAGAATATCGAAAATCTACTGGTGTGTCCAATTTTTTGTAGATGCACACAAACTAAAACATGTGTAAGCGTATGTGGCTAACTTTTAGATTTTCAATAAAGATGACAGTATGGTTCACCGTTTATTCTTCTGTCAAACTACCATGTTTCCGATTATAGGCAATGAGAAGTGGTTACTTCGGTTTTGAATTATCTACTGTTAGTAGTAATTATTTCAGATACTTGATGCTGTTGAGTGCTGACAAACATGAAACTGGGATATAGGATATCTTGATGTCGGTTTTATTACTATTTATAAAATAAAATACTGACAAATAATACGTAAAATGACAACAATTATTAAGCATACCACTTAACCACCATCATGATACATTCAATAGCTTTATTACATTTCACATCAAAACCTATATTGACATGCACTAGTAAGAGTGACCAGTAGAGATGGGAACGTCTTTCTGAATCCATAACAATGAGCCTTTTATCAAATGTATAATTAAGTCATAAAAATCTCAGAGTAATTCGTATTTGATAGAAACACAAATATGTTTGTTGAGCACATGAAAATGATATTGGCTTAATTTGTACCAGAAGTATCAACCTACTGGTTAAAAACCAATGTCAATTACTATTGGCTATTGGTTGAATAACATCTGAAATTAATTTGTCATTCCGAAAATTTACTGTTTGCTATAAAATTGTTTTATTAGTAGAAAATTGGGTTCATTTTCAGCAGCATATATGCTATATTTGTGTATTTTGTTGTCTGCAGTGATAATGCATCCACAGTATTCAGCCCACACAGAAAGACAGAAAATTCATGTGACTGGAATCCCAGCTCACCCATTTACCCAGCTTATCCAGCTCATATGGATAAATCGAATCACACTGATGTTCAGGTAAACTGTGATTACTTTTTTCTGTATTATATGAAATTTTGTCTACCCCGCAAAGTTGATTAGAGAAAAATAAAACCTGGATCACAGCTAAGTTCAAAGTACTACCTTATAAACGTGTACCTTGGTACCTTGTAGGCTCTGACACTTGAGCTAACCTGATGAAAAATTTTATATCTTCATTTAAATAATGGCCAGTCAACCCGCTTGATATCTAAGGTATATTAGTCAGTCAAGTTCGTAATGTATGAAACATCATGGTAACATCTTATTTTCGGATTTCTGGCAATAGTTAATGTGCACTGAATGTATGTGTAAGTTCAACAAACTAGTTCAATTAAGAGGCCTATGGAGTCTTAAAATGTCTTAGATCAACCGTAAAGAAAGCGAAAAACTTCATTTATCGTGACATTTCTTATCTGCTCATTATTTTCTGCCAGCGTTTAATCAACAACAAAGAAATGGATTTCAGAATTGGCTACCATCTGAGGAAGTAAATACATATTCTCATTTGAAAAACGGTCCGCTTATGAGATAATAATGAAATTTAGGCCGATGAATAATACGCTACCTGAGATGATATCTCTATGCGCTGTCATTACAGACGATTGTCGTTTCTATGGCATTTTTTTCTGAAATCTCCGTTAAAAAAGAAATACTGTACTAATTTTAGAAACATTTATGAATCCATTAGGTCAGCAAATAAGTAGTTTGAAGATAGTGTTCAATAGATTGTAAGTGAATGATTTTTTGGTTGTCCTTCTGTCATTTCTGATACATTTTAGCCTTTACGCTATAGACGAGAACAGTCTGTTCGACCAGTAACAATCTACTCTACAAACAATCCAACAACCAAAACTACAACTGAAACTAGACAAGTATGGAAACCTATACCAGCTCAGAATTGGTCAGATACAAGTAGGATTATGCGAAGTGGTACGTTTATTACAACAACAAAGAAAATACCTGGTGGAAGACGTCCAGATGTCAACGGTGAACCGTCAGGGGTATCAGAGTTCTAAGTGGTGAATGCTTATTTTGATTTAGAAAGAAAAAAGACATTGATTTAGTTATCAAGCATCAAACATGACATGGAGAGCATACTTTCTGTTACTTGCAGTGCATGAATGAAGTAAAAAAGCGAAGAGTAAACCATTTTTCTTCACAGCAAATTCTCATACTTTAATGACACTTAATTTTTAAAGATTGCAACAGATCACAATTTACTCTCATTGCTTAAGATGTCAATTGATCAGGGGAGGTGGTTCCCAGTAACTGTTTCGTTATAGTTTCGTTTAAAGCAATCACACAAAGAGAATGGTATCGGATTGATGAGGTGAAATTGAATTCCCTACTGTTTTTCTCCTGAGTAGTATATTTCTCTTCTCCTTTTTAAGCTTTCTGTTTTAGTTGGAATACTTGAAAAGTGAAGAACAAATATTATAATTCTTTTGCTTATCTCTTGTAACCCGCCTCTGTTTAATATAATTTCAACTTAATATTTAATCCAGTGTTTCTTCATGATCGCTGATATTCCAGTTTTCCAATCCACTGTCGAGAATCAACTTCAAAGGAACGACTTTCATACCAACCATCCAACAAAATACACACGTCTAAGTTTCCTTGCCAGATATGATAGCATGGGTTGCGATAGTAGTCCTTCGATTTATTTTAATACTTACCAAGGTGGTTTTTTTCTGCTTTTGACTACTCAAATTACATTCTATATTGTCCCTATAGGAGGATGATGATGAAGTCAATTTATTCGATACCGTTTTGAAGATAACATACATGAATAAATATTTCTTGTACGGTCAGTTTAAGACATGAGAATAAATTATTCTTTGCGGTTTGTAGGTCCTTAACAGCACAGGAAAATGGAACACTGTGTATGTATCTACTTCTGCTTGATATCATATCCTTAAAGGTATTTAAAAAGTTATATATAATACAACAAGTGCCAGCGTGATACAGTAATCAGTGTTATTGGACCATTTTGCAGTCACTTAGAGCTGAGGTCCAGTATTACCGAAGAAGGATCTGTTTAGCTGCAGCTAACATTCAGTCAACAATAAGCTGAGATATTAATGGATGAACGGTCATCTCAGAATCTTTTGAAAGATAGAAATATTAGCACTTAACGTGAGGTTTGTCAGAGCGGATAAAAGTGAAGCCTTACTTCCCTTAATAGAAATTAATTTGCTCGTTGTTAACTACACATCACATGTGCCTAAATATTTGCATTTTGAAAGCCAGATGCACATTAATTCTATTTCGTTCTATTAAGTAACTGTCAAAGTTCATTGACACGCGCTGGTCCTTGATTTGGTAACTTGAGTTTCGACATTATCGGGAATATAGCAGTCAATAAGCTTGAGTTTTGTCTGTTTAATTTCATTCATGAGTGGTGGCTTTGCTGATAGATAGTATTGGTTTAATTATACCGGATTCTTGATGAAGAATAGCCAGGTGGACCACCAGTTAAGTACGCAAATAATCTAGGCGTGATGACAGTGAAATCATCACGCTGACATTTTAGTCACTACTAGAAAAATATCCAGTAACCGAATTTAGGACTTTACATTGACCTATGTAAAACTTTCATTTTTAGGGTTTTAGTTTTAACTTAAGTGGAGCAGTCCTGTTAAACCTTTCCAAGTAGGATGAAACTGATATACTGGACTTCACACCTATCATCAAAAAAGCCTCACACAATACAGTTGACGACAGTATCCAAAATACCAAACGGTAACCAATCATTAGGAGGAGCCAATCGAGCCAAGTAAAAATAAAATACGAACAAACAAGTGATAACATCAGAATATTCTAAATATAAATAAGTTAACTTCATTAGAATTACTTACGACTGATAGCTAGTCCAGTGACATCTCTTCGAGTTATATATTGTTTACAAAAACCTTTTGATGTTAGCTGCCAGTTTGTTGTATAGTGGATTAAATGATTATTCTCACATATCCTTTTTCGTTGAACCACTTGCATGCAACCTGTGTCAACCGTTTGTATGAGAATAACAATATTAGTATCCTCAACTATACAGTTAAAGTAAAATTTATCCTTATTCAGGCTCTGCAATATATTTTATAAATGACCATTCAACCACATTAAAATAAAAGTGGATTTATTTATTTGTTTGTTTACAAAACTATCATAAATATTACGGAATATTTCAAGTATGTCTGTACTGATCCCAAGTCAACAAGACTTTGGCATGGAAACTGATGTTATGATGGGATTAGTGAGACAAACATCAAACTACAATTTCTATATTTGTTTCATCATAAACATAAATACCTCAAAAGAGTAGTGTCAGTTAATGTATAGTGCAGCCATGTATAATACAAAGCTGACGTTAAAATAATAAATAGAAATGAATGAAATAGTCAAAAAGAGACTGATCTAAGGATAGTTGTAAAGCTTTGCTTACGTACGTTTGAATCATAGAGAATCAATTGTTGGAATTGTGATAAACATCGAATAAAGTCAAGTAAATATGTCATTTCGGTGCTATGCTAAATAGAATATCTAAACGCCTATTTTTACTGTCTCAGATACTCCAACCAGTAGTCTTTGCTTTATTTAATGCCAACACATTTTATGAATTAAATTTACATTATTTCAGAATTTACACGAACTGATGGCATTTTCCTGCGCAACTAGGTTAGTTTGTGCTACCTACTGAAGTGTTCGAGGGTAATCAAGGCTATTGATATAAGAGGGATAAATCTGCCTCCTTAGTGTTCATAGATACTTCAATACCAAACTCAGAAAAACTCGTGTCATAATAGACCTATTACACCTGACAGAAACAGAAAATTGTTAAATCAAATAAATGCGTGTGGTTATTAAACTATCTTCCAAGAGACAGACATGGTAGAAATGCCAATCAGAAAAGTCACATTACTAATCTTGGATATGCTCATGAAGTACAAATACTTCATGATTTCATGATACTCAGATTTCCTCACCAATTTTTTACCATGATAAACTGAAAATGAAATGAAGTTATTTGATTACGTATTATTTTTCAGACGACAGAAAAGAGTTGTTTAATGAAACATCATTTATGTCAATTGGACGACTACGTGATCGTGGTTTCAATGTTTTGCCGGAAGTCATCTACGTTAGCTTAGAGAACAAGCTATAAACTAAACGAAATGGTGAAGTTTCATCTGTTCATTATATCTAAAATACCCATGACTAGAAAACGTATGGGATATGACTGATAAGAATGGAACTTACAGCATCGTTTGCGTTTCACAATTGTTTTTCCAACACAATGACCTTTAACCGAATCAAAGCGATACATAAAAGTGTAAGTACGTCCAACACAATTTGTGCCATATGAGCAGGAAGTTTCCTTCTTGTAATTTAATGGACAAGCTGAAGAGCAATACAATATACAAAGTTAAAATTCGTTTAGCTCAAATTAGACAATGACGTTATTCAGCAACTCAAACCTGATAGTTCTATATATTCTACTTAACTCACTGAATGTGAAGGAGGAAATTCAGATACAAGTTATGTTTTCATTTGATAAATAATGTGCTAACAAACTGAGATGTTTTAATAGAGGGAGTTCCAAGTATCAAGTTATTATAAGTAGTTTTTCTGCCGGTTGTTGCAAAGGATGCATACTCTAAATGACTAGATGACTTTTTACAATAAAACGTTTGCACAACCATCCTGACGGTTACACTTACATTTCTTACAAATTGTATCTGCTATTCGACTGAGGTTGCGTGATAATTGATCCGAATTCCTTTTCAATTCAACTAAATGAATTGCACTTGGTGGTGAAACTAACTGCTTGAAAAATTGAACATCGTAAACTCGATCTGATATAAGTAGTAAGACATTTATTTGAACATTGTGTGTCTTTAGATAATCAGACAATTTTTTAGCAGCTGGCAATTGATTCCTAGCACCGTCAGTGATTATATAGATAATCAATGAAGCTCCAGGACGTGTTTGAGGGATAATCTGTAACAACAAATGTGAGAATTAGGAAGGCCCATAGAGATTTCAAACAAATTATGCTTTAAAAACAGTGGCTGACTGCTTTTAAACTGTTGTGCAAAAAATCCTGATTTGCTTTTGGACTGTGTTTAGAAAAAACTTACTAATAACCAAATTAATTCATATCTTTTGTACGTTGATAGTCTGAAGAATAGAGCAAAGGTTTCAGTGAAATTGCTTATCTTTTACAGGGCTCGTGTGCCCTGAGATAAGAGTGAGAGGTATGACGGATAACTAGTAGCAAGATAGTAAAGTTTGTCGACGGTTGAGAATAAGCGGTTAAAAATGTACACTATTTCATAGGCTGAGCCCCTGGATTTTATTTGCTTAGACTGCCAAATATGCATGAAGACGTGAGGCTGTTGAATAGGATGAGGCACCTTCCAGAACTCGTTTGTTTAGAGGCTGTGTGACTAAGGGTGACGCAACAAAAACTCTCACTTTTTTATTGACCCTGACATGTAATCATTTGTAAAATGAGACAGCTTTTTAGATGAATTTGCCCCTCAAAGTTTATATCTTTGGAGGTAAGGCGAAGCTCAAATGTGTTCACGGGTTAAAAATTTGATAAATAGGTGTCACGAACAAAAACTGCGTAACTAAATAATAAGGAGGTTATCTTTGAGACGGTATGAAATACACATGAGTCAATCGCATTGTACCGGTGACTATCCTGCTTTCATGTGGTTTTGAAAGGTGGTGTTCATTAAAAATCAGACCAACCTTCTTAGAAAAGTGCCTCTGTCAACAAAGCTTAAGATCAATGAGATCTCAGCAATATTCGTAGATATCTTGCTTATCACTCAGATTGATCCAAGTAGTCATGGTCACTAGAAAGTAGTGCAGTACCTCAAAAATATTCCTGTTTATAATTTTGTACATAATGTTATTTAGTGCTGGCTAGCAGCAATACTCAGTAGATCTACTTCATTAGAGTTTGAATTAGTCTACTATGGCTACTTTCTTCCTATTGTGTCTTAGATTTGCCAACATGATTAACACTGACAGTTTTCAAATGAAATGGGACTTGGGTAGTGGATCCCACCGATGGTCAGTACTGAGTAAGATCACGAATGTAATCATAATTAATAATGAGACATTAAAAATGAGAAATGCTATGACACTGAAGGTTTACAGAAGGAAATTTCAAATATTTTCGAAGCAATTTTGAAACTCTTTTTTATGCTGCGTATTTCACCACCAAAACTTTAGTTTGACTGAATATTTTCTGGATATTAGAGCTTACATTAAACAATTCTAAATGCATATGTTGGTATAAATATGAAAGCAATTATTTACCCGACTCATTAAAAATCGCAAAGCCAATTTCAAATCTGATTGCTGCCCATTATTCAATGTCAGTTTCTTTATTTCAGCATATAACTCATAAAGTTCACTGTAACTTTTTAAACCGGAAACAATCTTAGTTTTCAATGAATACTTGACTATACAAAACCGGAACAACTCATCCAAATTGGCTGACTGAGATGATTCATAGAAGATATTTACTGTATGCTTTATTATCTTATGAACATATTGTGAATAGTCAACTTGTTTACTCTCCATAGATTCATCTACTAGAAATACTACATCGGTACTGCCAAGTGGATCACAAGCTGAAAAATGAGTGAAAAAGGATTTGATAAGATAAGAAGTTCAATAAAGTAATAGCGCATCACAAACAGTAATCAGATAAAAAGTACATAGATAGAAACAAACCAAATTGGTCATCATATTATTTTTCCTACACATGAACAACCACTCACAAATGCACACATTCACATCACCTTGAACTCCAGGCTAATGACGGACAACAAAGACAAGTTTAAATGTATCCTGACTAAGATAACTAATACATTTATTGTTGTTGCTTGTATTATCCCTTTCTTTGAGTGAACCGAATTGATCGGCCTGTGATGAAACATGGGCTCTTGTGAGGATGCCTCGATATTGCTTATGTTTGCGTTATATATTAATGATCAGAACAACATCGCTTACTGAAAGATAGGTACATCCAGCTGACGTGTCCTAAATAGGACGAAACGGGCATCCTGGATTCCACTGTTAGCCACTATATATTATTTATATAAAGATATAAGTGACCGTATTATTACCGTGTATGAACGTGAACTGATTTTGTCACCATTTACTGTTTAAACAGTCGATAACTTGTGCTTGGTGTTATTCTCTGAAGAAGCAATTTCCACTAAGTCGCAAAAAGTTAGAAATTTACTTTTCTACCTCACTGGAATTTTACAAATACATTTCACTTATAATCCATTTACTCAGTGATAAACTTGTTCAACTCTACCAGGTCAAATTTTGATCGTGAAGTTTATAAGAGTAGTAGTACACAGTTAATCAGCAAATTTCCGATCTACACCTGACTTACCTTATAGATGCTGATCACTATTTAAGATGAATCCTTAATACTGGTCCAAGATTACAGCTTAGATCATTTAATGCGGGAATGAATATCGTACTGTTTTCTGGTTGGCATATATTGATCGAAGGCAGTCAGCAGAAAGCCTAGTAATGCTCATAAGTAACGAATGCTTATTTGCTTCTATTAAAATCATGCTCTTTTATGTTATATTATCTAAGCTGTTGAACACTATATTCACTGACGTAAAGATGCTTAGATCATCAACGGTTACACTGAGAATTGGTTAATAGGAAGTGATACCAGCTCGCTAACATCTAGATATGATCAAATCACTCAATTTAGTTAGAAGGCGAGATAGCTCCATAATTCGGTGGATTGTATTAAATTTTAGGCAAATCAGATTGAAAAATTCACAAGGCTTGATGTGGAGGGTTTCTGTTTATTGTCTTCACCCGTTAAATGTTTGCCTTTTCATTTAGGTTACTAAATGTTAGCATGTAAGTATGTCAGACTTTAGATGCAGTTTGTATTTGTGTAAGTCACAGCGTGTTTGAAATGAAATAATTCCAACGTTACATGGCTTACGTGCTTGTGTGTTACCATTCATATTCTCCTAGATTGTAAATATCAGATAAAAAGGTCAGAGGTGACATTGTAGTCATTCGATAATTTTACAGGTACAATGGGACATATGAGGTAGATGTGTAAGACATTTCGGTTGGCATTTTGGGCTGAAAAGCACTAACGAATTTTTCATTGATTTGTCGCATTAGAGTGGAAATTAATAGTAATGAGTGAATAGAGGATAATAATAGCAATGAATCAAATCAATCCAGATTGTCTTCTTGCTGATGCAGGGATAACGAAGTTGAAAGGGGTGCTGAAGATAAATGCTAGAGTCACTTTCTCTGCTTACTAATTAGTAATTACCAAGAATAAGTACAATAGTTTAGAACATGGTACAATGATCACTAAAGCTTTCTGATATACCCAACAATGCATAACCACTTAAGCGTTTTTCCATACTGTGTTTTTGGTAAGTTAACCAAGAGTTCAATTTGACCTCGAACTATATATAGTCGGTGCTTTTCCAGTTATTTTTACACTCATATTGCCTTGTAAAATAACTTCTACCCACATATGCTTTTCCAGTGACAAGAAAGGCCACTCTAACAACGTCAGAAATAATCAGCTAGGTGTCTTTATTTCTGATGGAAAGGTACATTTTCATTAAGTAAAGTAGTAATATTGGGTATTTTCCTTTTTGTAAGAGTGGCCTTTAAAGTCATTCATATCTTTTAAGTTTTTTACATAAAGTTTGCCTTTTACTTCATAGTAAAGTATATCCATCTACTGACCAGTTACACCTTATTTTGTCTTGATGAGGGTTCACATAAGTAAGATGATTTTCATGCGTGATTCAGTTGCTCTGTCAATCATTTCTTTCAGTTAACCAATAAACTTCCTCTCAGTTAGTCATTTTGCGCTTCAGTGTTAATAACCTACTCTAACTCTCTACTCCTCCACAGGATGTCTCATCCCAGTGAATACATTTAGTGAGTCATAAGTACCGTCACCAAATGACAGTTACCTACTGATTTTTGGTGATGGTTCTTGGGCTTGCATGTGACTGCAAATGTCGACCGATCCAGTAGAATAAATCGAAAAAGGACAAGATATGCTTTAGCGAAATAATAATTTACTGTTGTTTGACATTAATTAATATTTACGTCAAAAGGTTCTGATCACTCACAAGTTGAGAATTTTATTCATGGCAATGAACAGCAAATTTATGACTCAAGTTACGAAACATACCATAAAGTGATGTGCTTATGGTTATGTTAAATACGCACTTTTGTAAACTTACAACATGGTATTGTGACAACACGTTTATTCGCCTTACAGCCACATCCTTTTCGTATCTCACGTTGATGTATATGCTTCTGTTGTCCTGCACGACAAAAGCTGACTGGTCTCAAAAATTCTTTTCCATCGCAAACTTGAGTGAAGAAAGCAACAATAACATTAGCAAAAGGATAATGATAAAAATCAGCATGACAATAATTTATAAGAGGCAGTTACCTATAAAACTTAATGAGTAAATAGTTGTCGACAGTTACCTCTCCTGAAAACCTTCTTGAGCATTAACGTTAGTAACATGAAGGACATTCATCCTTGAAAACAAATTCGTTAACCTAAGTAGGTTGAAAATTGCATTTCAACATCCGATATATAAAGCGACACTGGTATCGAAAGTAAGTCTACACTGTCGCTTCTAAAGTAACACATCCTATTCCTAAAACATCATATTTTGCAAGCTAATTAACTAAGTTCCTCACAACAACCTCTCGGTATTCTCGATTTTGATTCCTGGAATCGAAAAAAAAACAAACAACCACTTTAGAAAGAAGAACATAACGACTAGCCTTATTACAATGCTACAAGTCAAGCAAAAAGTTTTAGATGAGGCAGAATTTTGGGCCGGCATTCTTCGGTACAACGAATATTACCTGACTTCAGAAGAAATGTGAAGATCAAAAAATGTAGGAGTGAAATAATAATATAATAATGGATTATTTCTGATCCATCCAAGATGCCACCTCATAAGGTGAAGTAGTTTGAGGTGTTCAGAAGCTTCAACCAATCAATTTCGAGATACAGTGTTGCTAAGGTTGGTTTTCAGTGCTGAAAATAAATGTCCAATATGTAGATAGTTTTCCTCTGCGTATTGAAATTAGTTAATTGATATGAATGACTTCCGGTGCACTATTTCAGTCAGTGTCGCAATATGTAGTAAAGTCTGTCATCGAACTTTTTATCATAGGCAAGAGTTTAGTTGTTACGTGAATGCTGCTTGTAAGAATTTTATTGTTCATGGAAATGATTAATAGAAACACTATCTAAATTCCTACATTCTGATTGAGAATTTCGTTTTTCTTCAGAGTTGCATTTATATATCAGTTGGTGTATTCACCTGCCACTAGTGGCATGAAATTTCATAAAATTGTATTTCACCTTGAATGTGTCCTGATCAAGAATAGGCTGGATGGTTCGGGAAAACTTGAGCACCGAGTTAGTGTAACTCATCGTATAAGATGTGTTTTACTTGTGTAATCCCGGCTTAGTATATAAGAAGAAATAGCAAAATAAACAAATATTTTGTAATATTTTCCAACGTTTTGGCTTTACTATGAAGATTATTTTCCGGAGAGTTGTTTTGTTTTAGGACTTCTACTGGTGGATCACAACTGCATTGTACTTTTCATAGTCGACCTAAAGAGTGACTTTAAACGCCACCTTAGCAACGACTGAAATAATCAATTAGACTTGTCTGTTTTATGAAAATCGGACTTTCGAGCCGAAATGGAGAAACTTAATTGGTTATTCTGATTGTTGATAGGGTGGCATCTGAAGTCGCCTGATGTAATAGCGAACCGTTATTTTTATTTGCGCTCTACATGCCTCTGTTCATAAACCAAAAAACTCACGGCTGGAGAATTCGGAGAAGAGCAATGAAAATATTCTGTAAAGCTTATCTCTAATTAATAGTCACACTTTTCGAGTTAATCATTACCACCATAATCCCCATTCTTCTCAAAATACGATCCCTAGTAAAACATAAAAAAAACTTTTCTCCAAGCTATGAAAATTCCTGAGCAGATGTTTCCAACACTAAAGCATGAAGCATCCAATGCAAATATTTCTTCCGATTTTATATGGACTTAAGACAAACCGTTGAGTGAACAACATTTTCATTATTATTTAGCGAATTGTAAGAGGTAGTAAAAAAGTCGCTAGATGAATCAAGAGTGAAAATAGAGATGTTTCATGCTTACAAATAAATCAGTAAGAAAAAATATTGTTCAAATATTAACATTTTGAATAAGTGTTGAATAATGTGTTTAAGATTGGGAATGGTCAATCTTTTTTCTGGAGTGGAATAGCTTTTCTCGAATAGCCTTTCATTGTGAGTTCGATTCGGTCACTTACTCTTTCTGAAAATGTTTTCTACTACTAGTTAGAAGTTCATTAGTTATAGGTTTGCTCACCCAAGATTCTGCTGTAAATTTGGAAGGCATTAAGTACACAGTCTGATACTCATACTTTTCAAGAAGGTAACTCACTATTCCACGTTTGAAATTAGACATCTGATCATTAGGACTGAATAAATGTACCGTGGTTGACTTATGGTAAAATGGTTGATATTCCCTGCATACTATCAAAATGAATGTTCTCAGTCAACTTACCAATAGGTTGAATAGTCTTGTACACAACTGGCCAACATTGGCCATGTTCAAGATTCCATTTAATTGTATTACTCAATATTAAACCTTTATCTGCATCGCATTGTTTACTAAACAACATAGGTTGTGATGAATTAGTTCCTGGATAAAACTGATTCAGATCTTGTTCTGTTGGACAACAACATGCCTCTTTGTACTGTTGTTTTTGAACGATGCAGTTACACCGTTGATTTGTGTGAACTTTATATTCACGAATAATGCGTGAACATTTTCCAGCAGAACCGCACTTATGTAAGTGCCTTACACTATATTCGTTTTGTACAACTTCATAATTTGGTGATTCTTGGAGAATTTCTTCTGGTATTTGACATTTTATAAACTTATAGTGTAATCTTTCAGATTTAATACACGTTCCTTTTGAACTCAATTTATATGTTGTTGTATTCAACTGTTGAACGTTATTTGTTGAACATCTAAAAAAAGAATCAAATAAAAATAAGGATAATCTGTAAGTAATTGTATGAATTATTCTTGCTGCACTGGCCTTGTGGGTAACGTTTTGGAGCTTGAAGCGGCCGGTACTGGGTTTGAGTGTCAGTGAGAACAACACTCACTGGGGTGCAGGCACATTCACAAACAGAACAAAACGAGGGTCCTGAATTCTACTGCTAGGCAGCAAGTAGACTGCGAGAGTTAGTTGCAGCAGGTAAGTGAGTAAAGAAGGTGAGTAGGAAACTTACTTTGGAATACATAATCATGACTGCCACTTTCGTATTGCTAAAACTGAAGCAAGGCATGATAGATGTTAAAGTACACTTTTTATTATTTCCTTTCCAATCTTTTAAACAACATGGAATTGATCTTCTTTGATGTCTTAGTGACAATAATGAAATAATTCAGTGTTTTAAGTTTTCCGATAATTGTTTTTGAGTAATCAGGGAAGAGGTTGGAATTTACACTAAAGTGAAGGACGTAAGGAACATCAGTTGTATCAAAGAGTGATGTTGGTGTTATTTGCTTATGCTCTTTTCACATGAACTTCTGGATAAATTATGTATTTGAAGTAGGTCTTTCTAAGAAGTATCAGTTAAACTTAAAGACGTACTTAGGCTTTCGTGTTCACGGTCTTCGACACCCTAATGCTGATAACCTTTATAAATGTTTAGATAATTTTATTGTGGAAGTTTTAATCCCGCTTCTTTAATGAATTATGAGTAAAACAGTACAATATATCATCAGAAAGATGCTGAGCTAGTTTTAATACTTATAAGTTGAACTAGAGCAGAATAATGCTGGTATTTCCGAAATGAGCACAGAAAATGAAATTCCGAAGTATAATTCACATACACACACAATTTATGAAAGTTTATTATAGTCGCACTCTATCTTTTGGATTTCGCTAACCTACGTGAACGATTACCCATCTATCAGTACAGAAGAGATATTCAGAATACTGATATCTTCAAAACAGGTGTTTTTTTAGGTTGCAAACTGAAGTTACAATCTGTAGTTCAAATGACGGTCTTATAAACCTATAAAGTCTTACTCAGTAACGCAAGTTAGTGACTAGCAGTCTTTACACAGTATAGGTAAGTCTTTAAAAGGCAGTTACTGAAATCTGTTAAATTTCAGCTGTCAACTAAGTGAATCTACATAATCTTCTCCATTTTAGTGTCATAATAAAAGTGGAAAATATATCCCAATTGTTGATTTTCAAATCAGTTTTGCGGCCGTTTTACACTAGTTACAAAATCAACTAAGATCGATGCATACTGAAGAAATTACTATTAATTTCCAGTGGGCTTTGCTAAGCCTTTCAGTAAATCAAGCTAAGGAACCTCATATTCGGCAGCTTGTGATTTAACTCGATCCAAAGTCCCAGGCACCACAAATATTGTTCACTGGTGTATACTACTAGAGAGTCCTTGACATTCAAGGATTATTTGATCGAAAGAGAAAATACCTATAAAAGTATATAAACGGTTCAGTCGAAAAATCTGTGAATTTTTATTTTTGACATGAATAACTCATTTAATTTCATGAAATAACATTGGGTATCAACACCTTTGTGACACTGTCGCATTTTAATCCTCCTGTGAGATGTTATGAATAACTTCCTCAGGATAATCAGTCATCATCTTTAACACATGATTTTGTTTGATTCTCGTTCTCATTCTACTCCATGTCATACCTACATCGGATTCTAAGAAGGCTACTACATACTTCTGCTAATGAATGAACTGAACTTAGTCGATATTCTATAAGCTTTGAGTAAAATGTTTTACAACACAAACAGCCATAAAGAATCCACTTCAAAATGTTACTAACTAATCAAATCCACTTACCTAATTTGAGTATAAGGTTCAGGACATTTACATCTTGCAGGAACACGTAATTCACTTTTCACACACTGACACCCAACACGTTTACTCTCTTCATACAGATGGTAAAAGTTACCCGTTTTAGGATCACATTGTGTTCTGCCTTTATATTGCGGACCAACTGGTGAACATGTGACTTTAAATATATTGCGTGTTCGACGTGGTATACAACGTGATTTATCTCCAGAGACTTCATAATGAACATTTTGGTGAATTAAAACACCTTCTGAACTAGAAGTTTTGATATTGAAAAAAATCACATACAAGTATTAATTCGAAAATAGTCGCTGCATTATTATTCAGATAGACTTATGAACTACATCTCTCAATCAGTAATAACCTAAACTTGTAAATTCAACTTTGCAAAACGGGAACAACAGTCATACTCGTAATCCTGTATTCAAACTCAATCCATAGTTTAGATTCAGAGTGACTATATGGGCCACCCTAAAAACTACTGAAATGGGCAGTTAGATTTCTCTGTTTCACGAATAAACTGCCTTTCCGGGTGAAATGAAGAAATCCAATTTGCTATTTCAGTGGTTGCTCGGGTGGTCTTTACAGTCATTCATTAGTGAGCTGAGATAATGCATTATAAACACGAAAACAGGAATATGTATAAGAATATAATGTTAATCTTTGCAGCTTATAAAAAAATAAGTAACAGGATTGTAAGATTGATTCAATTCTACCTAGGTATTCAGTTGTAACATTGACATCTTGAATGGATTTAGTATCTGCCTGAATGATCAGAACTTAGGACGATTATCCTGTATTTTATTGACAACATGCAGTTTTCTTACAACGTTGAATAGCACCTCTTTTACATTACACTTATTGGACTGTTCTACATAGGATGCTAACCATGTTCAAAGTTCTGATCTGAAATGGATGTTAGATTTATGTGTTTAATTGGCTTTATATCGATGTTTATTAATTGATCACATAAGTTTATATGTGAAATTATAAAGTATATGCATATGGAATGAGAGAAAAGTTGGCAAGGAATCTGTCATATGCATCACTTAGTAATGTTTTAGGTGGATGACAGACATAAATATTTGTAAAGAACAAGCAGAAAATTGCTTAGGAATAAACCTCGGTCATCACTTATTGTGCAATTAGCAGGATTATTAAGTTACTTACATAATGACTCCGACCTGATAAATTTTTAATACGCTGACATGCTCTATGTGACAATTCCGGATAGTGACCATAACATAACCCTATTTTCAAATTTCCGTTAGATGGTAATCATAGACGGGTATGAAGTCTTGATCTCAAATCCACTCAGGTATCACTGTGCGAACTAGAATGATTCAGTTATACCAGCATGGTTTCAGAAATGTAGGGGTTTTTATATACGGGAAATATCTCACTAATCAATAATCCCAGCTGTGAATCAGTATTGAAGAGACAGTGGTATATGTGACAAAAGTTCCTAGATATGCTTCATATAACGACAGGATGGCTACTTTCAGGTGGACATTTCGGAGGTATGGTGTAGCATTTAATGTACTGCAAAAAACCTTATATGAACAATCAGAATTTACTATTTTAACATATTGCACTGTGGCCTGAATTATTCCTGCTACCATACTGATGAGTTTTTTTATAGTTCATTCTCAATAGTATTACCTGACACACCACAAGACTTATCCTGTAGTATTTTTAAAAGGTAAAATAAGTAAAGGAGTAGTCTTTATTACGGTTAACACATGAACAATTAAAAAACTTACTGAAGGCAAGATTTTTCTTGATGTGGACGTAAGCATTTGCAAACGGTGAATACTTGACGTACATTATTTTCAATACATCGGCAACCATCAGCGTAAAATGAAGTCACTTGATCAATACGAACCAAGGCGTGTCGACCTAGATTAAATGCACATTTGTCGGACTTATTCACATATTCCTCAGAACAGTCAATGGGAACTCGGTCAATAACTGTGTCTAGACGTGAACATATTGGCTTGCTATCCGATAATTCCCACTTGGTTGAAATAGTTTCAAGGATGAATTGTTCATTACTGGCTTGTATACATCGTCGTTTCATTACCGGTGGAGGACAGTCTAGATTCAGTAAAAAAATTAATGAAAGTAAATTACGTTTATGTGAAGCTGACTGCTTTTTCTCTACTCACACTTGATGAATTACTGCAAATATTTTTGATGCAACTTGAAATTGGCAATAGTTCAGAATAAAATATTAGATGACCTATGTCATGGTCTGGATTCTACCGGATTAGTTACAAAGTAACTCCAAAAAATTCAAGTAGCTTTACTTCAGAGAAGATAGCTTCAGACTTTATACGAATGCTACCGGTACGAACTCTCAGATCCACGTTTCTCTTGTTGATCTCATTCAAAATTACGTACTAGAGAATTCCAGGGGATTCACCAACTGTTATCTTACACTACATCGAGTTTATCAAAAAGCTTTGCTTATGAATACAGGTGAGTATTCTACCAGAAGTAGATTCCCATCCTCAGGTGCAAAGTTTTAATAACTAGTTAACCATGAGAAAATGTTTTAAGAATCGCAGTATTCAGAAGTCACTCAAAGTATCGAAATGTGAGAAATCTGTAGTGATAAGCTTAGAGAGGTTCTTACTTCATAGCACCAACAATCACTGGTTTCTTTTTCTGTTATAATTAGCTAATTCTTGAAGACTTGGTTTCGTTTCATCTTCAGGATTCATCAGTAACTTGTTAAATGTCTAGCTGCATTACTGCTTATCAGAATGTACCTTCAGGAATAAGGAATTGATATATCCGATAGTTTATAAATTTGTCTCTACTAAGAAGCTTATCGTACCTGAAGGAGTGAAATATCTTAAAAGTCGAATAGTTAGGGGAATTCCACTGCCTTATGTATCTTTTCTGCATTTTATTCACTTTTTATCAACTGCATTTTCAAGCCTTACAACCTATTGATGATTAAAAACTAAAGAACTCAAGGTACATATGCTGGGATGCAACGTATTTTCAGCAAATTGCCAGTCGGAAGTGAAGCGGATGCTAACTGAGGACCTTGGGTGATAGTCGCGATATGTCGGCTGAGTGGTTTACGCGTTCGCCGTGAAACCTGAAGGTCCTGAGTTCGATCCCCAGCTGGGTCGTGGGTAAGTACTGCTAGGGAGTCCCATACTAGGAAGAAACAGCGGTCCAGTGCTCCCAGATTCTCAATGGTTCCTCGACTGATATTAGTTCATGATGAAGACTACTTCTAAATTACTTGTATGAGTTACTTGACAAAACTTTATATTTCAGTATTTCACAGCGCTGCTACATGTTTCAGAAACTCGGCGCGTCCTGAAAAGCACTTCCAACAAACTACAGACATCAACAACTGCCTACGCTCATTAATGAAGATTAGATGGCCAGAAAGAATAAACAACAAGGAATGCTAGCCTGGCCAACTAAGAACCTATCACCCAACAAATATGCAGAAGAAAGTGGAGTTGGACTGGATTGGATTAGGCATACACTGAGAAAACAATTTGGGGACATCACGCGTCAGGCTAGGCTCGAGTGGAACCCAGATGGGAAACGACGAGTTAAGCGTCTCAGCTGAGGGTGACATGGAGGAGATCATACGAGTAAGAAATTAAAGCTTGTGGGTAGTCGTGGCACCAGGGCGAAAAGACTGGACGAAAAAGAGTGCAATGGAGGCGTGCTACTGAAGCCCTATGTTTCACTAGGAACCCAAGGGAAAAATAGTAATATAAATAATAATTACACAGACTGCTGTTCATCAGTGAAGTTTCAAAATTACAATAAGCATCTGCCTGATGATTTGTCAACTTCAAGTAGCTGAAGGTTTCCATCTCACAGTCGAATTTTAAGACTATCCTTGCAGGCACACCTGCTAAATTATGAGGCTTTTCATCCATTTTAGCATTTTAATGCAAATGACATTAGTGAAGATAACAAATAAAATAATGAATCAGATATCACTATACTGTTTGGAAAGGCTTTTAAATTAGTAACCCAGGCTTGTTTTTGTTAGCTCTTAAAAATATTCTCGAAGCTGTTGATGATGGTAATTTAATTGGTGAGCTCATGTAGACAGTAGAAGCCTAGTGACTTGTTCTGTAGTTTACACTTAACATTGATGTATCCTTTTGTGCTATTGCGACTAGCGTTTATACGTAAATGTGAATGAATCTCTTATTTTTTTTAGTTAACTCGAGCATAAATGAATCCCAGTGCAGATATACAGTCACTATTATATTCTACTGGTGGTTGCGGTGTCACATCAAGACTTTTATTAAAGATTAGCCAACCGATAACTAAAGTGATTTCATTAGTCTAAGTCTTTATCAAAACTTACATTTTATGAATACTACGGGGAATTTCTATTTGAAATAAATAAATAATGGAATCGAGATGCAGTGTCATTAACTACATTTCAAAATTAGCCTTCAGCTAACTAGTCTCGCATATAATAATACACTACTGAAATACTACCAGATATATGTTGATTTTCCTCAATAATACAGTGAAGACTAACTATTTTATAAACACTTAGTCAAAACTTACTCCATTTGTCATAGTCTACAGCAAGTTTTTGAACACAGCTACATCCGTCACGTACGTAGAACTGTTTTTCAATCCTTACCCAACCGTTTGGTTGTTGATGTCGAACAATTCGTTCATTTCGTTTACAAACTAAAACGATGATAGTAAATGTTAGCGAAAAGGTTAATTTTATGTCATTATTGAAGGTTAGTCTCATGAAAAATAAATTAACTTAGCGTGGTTTCATAGAACTGATTCCATTCTTTAATTTGTTTGCATACTTTGATTTACATGGTTCAAATTTTAAAATTTTGTGACTTCACAATACTCGGGCTCAATTGGAAACTAGGAGCCTCTGAATATATGTCTCATCCTTGCCCAACTTTATCAGTTATTTACTAAGTGAGGCCAACGGTAGTTTGACTAAATGTTTAGTAAGTTATTCTCACAATAATGCAGCTTAAAATCCTGAGGTTAAAACAACTTGGCTTGCTTCAAATCTTATAGCCGTTTATTGAAATCCCATGAATATTTAAGTGGACAATGAATGAAGAGTTTTAAAAAATGGGTTGTAACAGAGTTTGAACGGACGGCTTCCAGAATGCGACCCTTTGGTCTACAGACTGAGCCACGGGATCCATTTGGTGTCTAGGTCCCGGTTTAATATATCATTTGCTGGGAGTTTTACTGATCTGTTGTGTAGACAAGTGATAGTAAACTGCGTGTTAATCATCCTCATTATGCTACATGTCTAGTCAGTTCTCGTTACAATCTAACTTTAGTTTAACCTTGTAAAAAGCTGTCTAATGAGAAGTGTGAAATTATTACCGCTGTGAAAGAAACCACCAACTGATGTCGTACTGTTATTAAATAAAAAGAACTTAGGATTTTGCTTCATTTAAAACAGTTTCTACGAAAAAGATAAACCAGACGAAGCAATAAAAGGCACGCAGTACTTTCCCTTATTTTGAGACGCTTACTTATGTCTAGATGTCATTGTCTTTTCTCGTCTTAGAATGAGATGGGTGAAAAAACCACTCATGTTTGGAGATTATTTTTCAGTCGGTGTAGAACAGATAAAACAGTTGAGACACTTCAGCAGACTTCAGACTTAATTTGTTTAATTTTCACCCAATAGCTAAACGTAAAATCATCAGTAATTTTAAATTGAAAACGGTGATTGGTAATGGATTTCGCCTTCTGACGCTTGTATAATTTGGAGATAGCTGTTGCTTGAATGAAAGTTACAGTTAAAAGAATTATCAGCCAATAGAATAACTTTTCGCAGATACTTTATATTACTTCAACTGTCTTTGGTTTGAAATGAGCTACAGATGTTATATCAAATTTTCAGATGGTTATCAGGTATTAAGCTTAACTGTGAAGACTCACCTTAGAGGGACGGATAAAATTGCATATTCAGTTCATACAATTTTACTGTCGGATCAACTGTGAAAGACACTTGAAATTAAAAGTGGAAAAGGAGCATACAGATCTTGAGAAGACTATCAGTAAGCTTCGAAAGGTAAGCGGACTTGGTCTGGATGAGTAACAAATGACAGGATTTGGTGATGGTGGTCCAATTTTACTTGCTAAACTGACTAGGATATATTTATATAAACTATGATCAAGATATGATCGTATAGTATGGCAAATATTGGGCGCTGAGTAAATCAGTGAGGTGAGAATTCGCTAACACTATTCACCACTTTACTTCAACTGAAACTTTATGCACATCCACCTCATCCTTTTCAATTTGTACTTATAAAAAGTTACCGAATGACTGTCACCATGACCTTTTGTCTGATATTTACAATAAAGATGAATATGAATTGGAGTACATACATGCTTACATACGTCATGCAACAAAGGATATACAAGTTCACACTGAATGATTAGTTATCATAATTTAGGAAGACAATGACTATACGAAGAGGATTGGATGAGAAGATTAAATATACTTTTTTTTGAGTTCATTTATATATCCTTGATTTTTTAATTTTCATTATTTCCCTGAAGAAGCTCGGACCAGACTTCCATGCGAAACGTTGAAATTATTTGATTTCAAACCGGCTGTGATTTACACAAATACAATTCTATATCTAATGACTAGCATATAGTTATAACGTATGATTTCCGGCATCTGACACCTAATCATCCAAATCTTCAGGAAAGATGAGGTGATAACATAATAGGAGTTAGCTTGACAAATACAGTTTCAGCGGTTTTAGGAACCAGCATTAATCAACATGCAATTCATCTTTTTGAATATAAAACCTGAATTAACCTGTTAGGTTAAAGACTGTTTGATGGATGTATTGCTTTGTTAGATTCTGAAGAAAAGTATAGTGATTGATGTCCAACAGTAGTCAAAACTTCTTATCGGAATGTAGAACCTGAGTCTATCGACAGGGTCTCATTTGTATGGATGCTTGGCATGTTTACCACTTTGCTGAAGGCTGCGTACTTCAGCACTTACTGTTGTGTCGGAACGCAAAATGAATGCATCGACTGATGAATATCAAATACATTCACGTTCTTCATTTTTGTCGTAGGTTTCCTCTTGAGGTTATGTTTAATTTCTTTGACTACTCAGACGTTAGTGTCATCGAGGGTAATTTTTTAATGTACTTAAAGTGAGCGGATCATGAATCTGCTGAGTGGTGACGGTGAAAAACATCACTGGCAGGTGGTGGAATATTCGTAAACAAATCGAAGAGAAATTACAGGCATCAGTAAATAACAAATGATGCTTATTAGACAAGAGGTGGCTATCGTGTCCGAGTGGCCTAAGGAAAAACGCTTTGACCTTTGAAGCAATAGGCACTGCATTTGAGTATAAATGGCGACACGACTACTCACTGGGGTGCACACAGATCCTACTAATGACTGCCAAAAAGGACGAAATGAACGCCCTAGATTCCACTACTGGCTACCACTAAGCAAGTTTCATCTGAAAACCTGGAGATAAGGGTACGGTACACCTTTTATTTAGGGAGCCGGTGGTTTGCGAACGTTTAATAACTGATGTGTTAGATACATATGTTATCATAACAAGGAACAAGTTTGATCCACTTAGAGAGGCTAAGGATTCCTGGTTACGATCCTTAACGTGACTGTAGGGAGTTGCAGGTGAAAAGCTAAGGTTCACTGAAGCTGATGAAGACTAATCCATATTAAAATGTATTAACTCATATAGCATTTGTTTAATCTTGTAATCTTTCCTTATGTTATAGCCCTTACTATACGTAATTCGCTATCTTTCCACTTTTTAATTTTCCATTTCTTTGCACTAAGGTAAAGTGAGGTAATTAGATAGAGTGAAAATAATGCTAGGACCCATAGTGTTTTTATTTGCCCACGAAGTGATAAATCTTCCATCACGAGATATTTATATAAAAATGGATGTAGAGAGATGAAAGTAGAAACATTTCATGATGACGTTAACGAAAGTAAACTAACCAATTTGTTTCCCAACGAATCTGTCCTTAGGCACACATCTCCCATTGATCAGATTAAAGTTTCGATATCCAGTATCAAGTACACCATTAGAGCGATTACAGAAAGTGCCTAAATTAGTTTCAGGTGGACAACAACAGTCCCTCTGTCTGACGCGATAATAATATTTGCATTTACCATCCGAAGTCGATCTTTCCATTATCCACATGTACTGTACTTTGCAGCTTGGTGAACAATTGGATTGACGGATTAACCGGGGCTGAGTTTTGCATTCTAAGATTCAGAAAGATAAGATACATTAAATCAGCTTCGTAAATTGGACAGAAAACAAAAAATACAGTGCATTACAGTATCGCATCAGTTCGCCCGGTGGCCATATTGTAAACATTATCTGGAAAACTCAATCATTACTGAATAGTCGGGACCTGATGAACACGTCGACTGTTGTCTAGTGACCAAAGATCATGCTTCAATATTAGGTTGCTTATTTGATAGGATATACAGTGATGCCAGTAAATAATACTGCAGCACGGTGTGCCATATCAAATAAACAATCTAATATGGAATTCTACTCAGATGTATGTAGACCTTTAATGAACATTAATAGTATTTTTAAAGCGATAAAACTGGGATTATAAGGCTTTACCCGAAAAATAAATCTACAGTATAATCAGTAAAGTGAGAATGAACCTGAACAGTTTTTAAGATTCTTGTTTACTGTCACCAGAGGATATGGCGCAAGATAAACTTATTATACGACAGTATAGATTTGACCACATTACACATTTTGATTGCTGAACTTCTGTCAACACTATGGAATATAATGTTACTTTATTTAAGATATTATAGTATTTTTACTCAACAGTTAGCTAACTCTCCAAAGTAATTAGTTTGCGTATAAAACAGGTATTCTTCGTTTTTTTCTGTAGATTTCATTGCTACTAAAAGAAAATGGTGTCTAAAAATTTCGATTAAATAAAGATGGAACTTTTAACTTCAGTCCCTCTCAGGAGAGTTTCCTTATACTGAATATTCACAGGTTTTATTATCCTTTTCAAATATCAAAAATGATGACAACTGTGTTGCACTTATACACTAAAGTTACTTCTGTCCTGTCATCGTTTTGACCACATTATCTTTAAAACGTAAGGAATAAAGTTATGATTATTGGTTTTGATTGACCTGCAGGGGTTGCTGTTTGTGTTACTATTGTGAAACAACCCTACTTAACTAGATGTGCTCTAGTATCCGCTTATTCACTACCTCACCTAACGTGTAAATACTGATAACGAAACAAATGAAAGGAACTGGTATTCAGGAACATATTCAAGGGAGCAATATATTTGATTGGAATAAATGTGATAGTAATTATTAAGGGAAAAGTCTATTCAACTTATCTAGCCAGTATGGCTAAACAAGGCACCCTGAGGATGTGCTTATTTATCAGCACAAATGGATCGCAAAATGACGTCAAAACCTGCTTGGATGCATACTCATTAAAACAAAACTTAAAACACCTTAGGCATCCTGAGGCGAGCTAGAGTTTTACTGAGTTAAAGCTAATCTGTTTATTTTAGCCCTAGTTGCGTTTTGGTGCCCGGATGGTGCACTACAGACCTCTAAATTAACATTATGTTGCTCACTGAACCACCTACTTATAAAGCCACAATTGTCTGACAACTAGGTATGTAGTTAATAAAAAAAAGGCAAAGAGAAAACTAGTTTAACTTACTGCATTTACGGTGTCTTACATTCACACGGTAACGTCGTTTACAGTTTTCAACGAGTGGTAACTTTTGAATTATTGTTTCAATACCAGTTTTAAGATTACATCTTTTATCGTATATAGGTTTTTCTAGATCTGAAGAGATTTGGAAAAATAAAGGCAAAAAATACTGAGTACTATATTATATTTAAGCTTGTAGTTTCATGTACTTGACTGAGCTGAGGAACCATTTTGCCGACTGATAGTAGGAGAGGAACGGCAGTTGGGATGTAGGTGCATCCACCTGACGAGTCCAAAATACAGTAAATCAAGCTTTAGGGAGGGCAATATTAAATCCCATGGAAGTGTTTACCTAAATGTTCCCTTATTTCTGATAACATATTTTTATTGATGAAGTGATAGTTGAAAAGCTATGTCCATATCTTTTATTTTTACAGATAGTATTTTGTGACTGAGCTGGACAAATTAATTTCATAATGATTCTCATTACACACTGACGTTAACTGGAAAAAAGTTTGAAACCTTTAACTCATTAATATAGTTATAAAACTTGGGCACTGTGGTACAAATTAATTCCATATTAGATTTGTTTATTTGATTTATAACATACAGTAACACTAGATGGCTGTGTGTTATAAATCAAATATGGAACCTTTAACTCACTTGAGTTGCGTAAATTATTAACTGGGACATCTGCTAATAAGCATGTTACATATTTAAACCCTTTGTGAACAATCTTACCTGTTACGTAGGTCAGATCTCAGTCAATTTATTCATACTATGGGCTATGAATAACTAGAAGTCCTCAGTTAGTCCAGTACTGCTACAGATTGCAACACAACTCTTTCGGATCCCACCTCGGTCATTGCCAATAATCCACAATTATAAACAAGTCAAAACCATACAAAAATTAGCAATCTGATTTCTTCATACTGACTGTATTGCATTCACCACTGCATCCGATATAGTGGTTCTCGATCTCATTTCAACGAATAAATTCACTGAGCGGTGTTATGAGGTTACTTTCAGGTAAGGATAATCAAGTGATCTAAAGCGTGAAACGGGACTCAACTTAAAAGCCAGTCAACGCACTTATAACTACTACACAAAATGAGATGAAGAAAATCGACCAAATTAAAACCATTCGTTGTTTTAGCGAGCTGTACTCATGTGTTGTAGAACAATCAGGAAATATCTAGTTTGCATATCTATGTTAAACTTAAACTGTTTGTTTCTTCACCATTCATGACTTTGGTGTCAACAATTTTAATTAGGAAACCACTCATACCAGAAGGGTAGTTTTATGAGTCATTATTCGTTGATAACATTATCATGACCAACAAACTTACAATAAGAATTTCGAAATAAAACAAAAGCAAGCAAAAAAATAAAATAAATGCAAGTCAGTAATACTGTGACAGGATGTACGCGATACAGTCCACTTTAGGTTAACAGAGTATTAAAGTTATACACTTCAATATAATTCTTCCATTTTAAGTGAGCTAGTAACTCACTTGAGTATGGTGGAAAGCATAAAAATTAAAAGATTTTAATCGTGTCAATGCCAAGACATAGTCATGTATCAAACAGAGTTCGTATCAATTGACTCTCCAATGAAGAGACACATCTCACAACCTAAGCTTGGTTTCCCATTTTTAACAATGATGAAAATGTACATACTTACTACATAAAAAGTACTTACATATAGGATGGCGAACTTTTGAAATAACCACCCGTATGCATCTTTTTTTATCTTCACTCAATTTTCTTTCAGTTTTCCGAATTTCTATTATCTTGTCAGCGATGCAGTATTTCTCTTCTTTTACATCGGGTGAGCAGTCTATTGTAACGGAAAGAAAAAAAAAATCCTAAAACGTTGCTTTGGATGCCAAATGTACTATGTTGTAAACTGACATCGATTACTCAGCAATACAGTTGTAATATTTAGCAGGAAGCCGGGTGAATACAGAATTCAGTCTAAGTTACTCAAGCCTTAATTAATGTTAATAAACACGCCACATATTGGTGGCTTACAGGTTTTTTCATCACACTATCCTACCCCTTAATGTATCCAGGTGTTCACACAGACAGGCAAAGTAGGTCAAAGCTTGGAAGAGGACAGCAAGGTTGCGTAATACTGGGGGATAAAAGCAGTGAATAAATAAAGTTTGAATGCGAAGATAGTTAAGTAGTGATGTGAAAGGGGTGACAAAAATAAAATAAATAGGGAAGAAATAGTTTTTGAAATTCATCACCGGGGTCGTTCAGTAGCTTTTTCCCGGCAGGCTGTAATAATTCTAATGAACAATCCGAAGCTTCGATTGAATAAAACCTAATGAACGACCTTACTTATAAATTTTGAAATTTACTTCTGCCCCTTTTTATTTTATTTTTATCACCTCTGTCAGAAAACCACTTAACTCAATGGTCAATTAACACAAGGTGTAAACATATGATAAGTAAATTTTTAATAAAGGTTTACATACAATGATAATCACCAAAATAAAAAATTCTCGTTGGGTGTAAACTTGGCATTAAAAATTTATCTATAATACATTAATCCATTCCATTATGCACAAACTTGTTATTCATGGATTTAAAGCAAGGGATTTTGTCTTGAAGCTATGTGTTACTAACTTTCAGTCAGTACGGTACAGCTACATACCTGAGTGATTGAAAAGGCAACTCAGGGATCAAAACGGAATAGCCAACTACATTCCTATTTTATGAAAAAATTACCCTTTCAACCAAGATAAAAGACTTGTGTTACTTTAAAGGGAACCCTGACGACAAAAAATAATTAACTATAATTCTTTATCTTATAAAAATCTACCTTTCCAGCTGAAATAGAAAAACTTAATTTATTATTAGATATATGAATGAAAAGTTTGTTCACTATGGAATGGATTACTGTATTATAAGTAAATCCAAACTTTACACACAGTAATAAGTTTTTATTTTTGTAACATTTCGAGCAAAATGCAAACTTATCATTCTGTAAACTTTTCATAAGAATTTCACTTATATTACACTAACTGGCTACTTTAGTCGTTGCTAGGATGACCTCCAGTCACTCAAAACTCAGTTGGTATACTAGTAATTCCCAGGGCTGTGTAGAGCAGACTAACTCTAAATTTCACCTTAACAACCACTGAAGTGACTAAATAAAGATCTTAACCTATAGGAGAACTGATTCTCAGTCGAAACAGAGGAACTTGACTGGTTTTTCTGGTTGTTGCTAGGGTGGTCTTAAAGTCAATCTGAAGACCACTCATCCACCTACTGAAGGTTAGGCAGTCAAGTAGTATCATCAACCTTCATATGATAGACGTGACATACCACAAAGCTTTTACGTTATGTTGCAATGCAAGTTGTTTTATAGTCTGTTCAATAGAGAGGATCTGACCCTAACTTCTCTATTGTGAACTATTCTCTTTCACGATTGTGTCTGATTATAGAAGTGAGCATGTGGTAAGTTTATCTAAGTATTCCATCTAAGTATTATTGATCTGAATGATTTTCCCATGACAGATTATGTAGCTGTTGAATAAACCCTAAAAGCAGTATGGCTTTCTGTTTATCGCTGATCTTCGATGTTCTTATTGGGTATCTTCCCTGCACTGCTGACAGTCATCTAGTGAAACAAGTATTCTGCAAGTAAACTATTTCAGGTAAGTTCTATTGTGCAAATATACGAACATTTTATGAATAATGTGATTTCAGATGCAACGGCGTGCTAAGCATAAGCTTTTCTTTCCGGAAACGCTGCTTAACTGTGCGTTAACATATCAGGTCCTGAAGCTCGTGAACGATGCTATTGCCTACGGAACCAAATATAAGGAGGAGAAATGATTGATAAAACAGTGAGAAATTTTTGTAATTATCACGTATGAGTTCGATTACCTAATTAATTATGTTTGCTTTATAGGTCACTGACATTTTGAATAACTACTTGAAATTGATCTAACAAAGATAGATGTTTATTTTCTTAATTTTATTAGTGAATGCACTTCTAGTAACTTTTGAGGATATAGTTTATATTACACAGCTGAAGGAGTAGCAAGTTTATTGAAGTTTCTTTATATGTAGTATTTATAATACTTCTGTAATGCATTACTTATTTATTCCTATTGATTTTAACGTTTGTCATTGTGATTATCGTCTGTGGTGAAATTTTTGTTGTTGAGATTTTTAAATTGGTTAATTTCACATATTCCAGAAAATAGGAAATATATTTATTGACAAAGCCCCACTTACAGCACGGTATTTGTTCCATATATCGTTTATGCTGACACTGACATCCCACTCGGTGTAACTGCGACCAGAATACATTTCTATAGAGATCATTCTTTTGCATGTATTCTGATTCGTTTTGTGGCAGTTTATGACATTTCCCAATTTTTATCAATTTGGGTGGTTCATTGCATTGAACACGTGAGGATTGTACGTAGTATTTTGCTTTGCAGGTACACTGATCTTCTCCAAATTCATGAACTACTTTAATTCTCCGTAATAAGCCATCTCGACTTTGACAAACGGAATTGTTCTTTGGTTTCGGACAATTACACTGACAACGACGTTTAACTAATTTCCGATGACACTGACAACCGTCTAAATATGTGTCAATTCTAGATTCAACGTGTTCGTTGGTTATTGGGTTACATTTTGATCTACAAAATAAAAGACATTGAAGGTGACAACCGTCTAAGTTGTAGTATTACATAAAGATTAATCTTGAATGTTCAGTAATCCAAACGTGTGACAATTGTTAGAAGACAATGTTACAAAATATGATATCTTACTGTAAAAAGAATGTACAAGTACTCTCTTTTACCAAGACACATTAAACAAAATGTTAAGTTATTAGACTAGCGGTTCAAAGGACTTGAAGTTCCAAATTACCAGAGTTTGTTGCAGGTATCTTTTTTTCTGCATAAATGAATTACAGACTGACGAACGGAGATTGTAAGAATATGATGAAATTTATTGATAAATTAATTGTAAACAAGAAAGCTTCATTTGGATTTGGCATTTGTATAATCAAACCTAATCGATAGCCTCATTTAAATGACGATCTATGGCTGACTTTCATGTATTAATGCTGGTATTTTAACTGGAAAGCATGTGCACATATTTGAAAATGAGTGCTGGAGTTTAGTTCTTGTGTTTATAAAGTTCGTTCACGAAGAATGCTTCATCCTCGGCATCATATCATATGATCTTACCATCTTATTCAATAGTAAACGACATATCACTGTGGACTTCAACAGGTAAGTTTAGATGAAAAGGTTCAACAGCGTTAGCAGAATTGTATAAATTCCTGTTATTCATCAGTTCTTTGTCAGCTATAACCATCCTATTTTAATCAGATGTCAAAATACTGTGATAATGAGAGTGAACATAGGCAAGTCATTTGATAAATTAGGCAAACGAGGATGGTTATTATAAAATGAAAAGAATAATATTTCTCTTACTGACGAAGATGAAAAGCACTGCGGGGGAATCAGCTGTTCAGAACTTTCATAACTCTCAGATGAAAGGTGATTCTTACATTAAAGTTAAGTTCCGAACCAGGTTTCTGCTTCAACTTCTTGTGCATCATACACTTCATTAATTCGTTATTTCAATTAGTTGGTCCTTTGTGCTCATATACACAAGGTTTTCATTTGTAAGCCTTTGGTAAGAGCTTTGTTTAAACAAGGTGACCCATGAAGTTGTCTTAATTTTATAATATATGCATTGGTACCTTAACTTTTCTACAAATACCATTTATCCTCTGCGCGTGAAAAGTTCTGTCTCTATCCGCTTTTTGCCTCTTCACTGAGTGTCGCGTACATTTAGTTCGAAGAGTTAATATATTGTTGCTGGAGTATTTTGCCTAAAATTATGATGATAAGAATACTGAGAAGCATCCATCATTATCATCTTTACAGAGGAAATCCTCTCCAGTTTTTGAAATTATAACATCCATTGGTTGTTGAATCATACAAGTTGTTAGTTCACATTCATTTGATGTATTCACATAACACATTATGAAAAACGGATAACTACCTGAAGAAAAAGTTGAATTTAGTGTACACTTTATTATTACGGAAACAGTAAACAGGCTTACTTTTTTATTTGACTGCCTAGTTTACAGACTACTGGTTTCTTTTCAGTTTTGCGATAAATATGACATTCACCTTGTTGAATGAGGTATTTAAAGTACATTCGGACTAAATAAGCTGGTTTATTGCCATCAGCTGATTGACATCGTTTAACCATGAAATTGCGATGACATCGACATGCTTCAGATGATTTTAATTTAAGATTCTTCACTTCAACGTCTTTGAGTCTTTGCCAAACACACTGACAATGTTTAGGACGTTGTTGCAGATAGGTCAGTGGTAGACGTCCTGTCTTACTTCTGTCACATTTACCTTTGACGATTTTCAGGTTCATTGGGCACTCTGAAAAAACAAACAGAATCCAGTGAATAGGAGAGAGGCTGACACTATTCAAGGAATACTGCAACTATGTGACTTGCTTTGGCTTTAAACAGTGTAATAAGAAAATGGAGATTATCTGAGCATGTGAGGCATCAACCCAATACATTTCAAACAGTCTGATCGTACACGTGAACGTGTCGAATTATAGATATAAACACAGATAAAGACTAATTAAGCCAATGGAACTATAACTGAGAGAGATAATAAGGGCAGAGTAAAAACAAAAGAGGAAAATAGATCACTTATTTATTACCAATAGTATGAAGCGTTGAAATCAACACTACCAGGGTATATTTAGTGTAAGTACAAACTATTTTTGGATACATAAAGGCGATAATCAACAGATGATACGAAATAAATGAAACCAAAACCTCTGACAGATACTTCAGTGCAAAATAGATATCTATTGAAATTTAACAACAGATATAAATTCGGTACAATATTGAGACCGTCCAATCAATGTTCTGTTCTTAATAAAAATGTGTATTTTCCATTATCATACAGGGGTGAATCAAAAACCTAATCCTGAAGAGAATATTCAAATTCCTTTTCAAAGCACTACATACTATTCGGTCAAGAATATCTTAGTGGACAAGATAAAGCCCATGCTTCAATACAAGCTTAAACAGCATTTGAACGGGTGTATCATATCCCATTGTGGCTATCAGTTTACCTTCATATGCGGATGTGCAATTATTGTGTACAGTTAAGAATAGTTGAACATATGCAAAACTGGCTCCAGAAAAAAATGACCTCTAATAGTTTCATTAGCGGAGGCGACAAACATCTTTCTTCATCGATTGCCGAACACGTTCCATAAACTGGTTATAAGATTGATATGAAGATATCCTTAACCGTACTGCATAGATATGGTCAAGGATGAATACTTAGATTTATCCACAGATTCAAACCTCCTTTATGTATCCAAAAATAGTTTGTACTTACACTAAATATACCCTGGTAGTGTTGATTTCAACGCTTCATACTATTGGTAATAAATAAGTGATCTATTTTCCTCTTTTGTTTTTACTCTGCCCTTATTATCTCTCTCAATTATAGTTCCATTGGCTTAATTAGTCTTTATCTGTGTTTATATCTATAATTCGACACGTTCACGTGTACGATCAGACTGTTTGAAATGTATTGGGTTGATGCCTCACATGCTCAGATAATCTCCATTTTCTTATTACACTGTTTAAATTTATCAGGGGTATTATCTGTCTGGGCTTGTTAGAAAACTGTGTCACCTTAAGTACCAACTGCAAAAGATAGAGATGATGAGGATCTTTTTGAGTTTAATTATAGGACCACTGAAAACTTTCTTAATCACGGAGATAGAAGCTAAAACGCTCAGGCCCCTGTTAGCATATCATTGTCGAATGAATATTTTTACACAGCTATGGTTACTTCTCATCTTTACTCGATCTATAAAACAGTAAGTTTCAGAGAATCGTTCACGTGAATGAAACTTCTGTCGACTGCCTATAAGCTTTCAGTTGATTTTTAGGCGTTACTTATTCATTATCTAAATTACACTCAGGTCCAATAAGTCGGTCAAAATGAAAAGCAGTCATTATTTACTTTTACATATCAATAGTACCCTTTTTGATGGATGGAAATTCTCTTATTTACAATCAGTCAAGTGAATAAACTACCGACACTGAGTTAACAAATACAGCTAATAAAACTGTTAAATAAAACTCTTAGACTGAGCATATTTATTTAGTTTATAATCACGACAATAACACTTTTGATGAGTTTGATGAATCCTGTCGTTCTTAAAATGATCAATGGAAAGCAGGTAGACTGGCTGCTAAATTTCTAGCGGACGAAAGGATCCAAACGTTTTGTAATTTTTATCCCAAGTAGTGCGAACCTTGCTCGAATCCCAGTTTTTATAAAGTGAATTGTTACCGTACGACTCATTATTCCAGTATTTGTGTTTCCCAGTGAATGTAAACATGATAAATTAGGAGAATGTTTTATAAATGCAAAATCAAGTGTTCCACGGAGCATTAAACACATTGTAGGGCACCTCATTTTATGTGAAGAGCGAATTCCTCTAGGTTCACATTCCAGTTGCCCTTATAAAATAAAATATTCAGATTGCGATGTAATACACTTAAGATAAGCACCAAGTGAAATCAAAAATTAGGAAAAGTGAACACCGAAGGGCCTCCATCCGACCCTCTAGATATTCAGTAGAGCTGGAAACAGTTCGGCCGTAACTCTACACGGTGATAAATGGCGTAAAATCATCAAATGCAGCAAGAGGTTTTGCAATTTCATCGAATATTTTCTCAAATATTACTGACTAAATTCCTATTGGCCTAACACTACGAGTAACTCCTTAAGGTCATTGCACAAGTCGTTCAAGGAGACCAGAATTTTTTATTCATATAACTCTTTCATACGCCTTCGTCTTCTAATACATCCTACTGAAAAAATAACGTAAACTCCTGAATAAATTTCTATAGAATTAGTGTTTTGATTTTGTTTTCCAGTTGCACAGACACACTATCGATCAAAGCAACTAAACAAAGATTTGCCAGTATTTCTTCATGCATTCAACTGAGGTGATGACCAATAGGTGAGAAAACGGGTGACTTTATGGGAGATTATAAAGGCCATCCTTACAATTGCCAAAATTACCAATCAGATTGCGGTATTTTGGCTGGGAAGACAATTCTTCGTAGAACAGAGAAACGTGATTAATTGTTTCATCGCTTGGTAGGGTGGCCTTTAAAGACATTCAAGAAAACAATCGACTACTAAGATAATTAATTAGGTTTCTGTATTTTATGATCAACTACCTATCTAGCCGGAATACCGAAGCCTGATTGGTTATTTCAGTAGTTGCCAGGGTGACATTTAAAGTAGCCTTAATTTTGAAGACCACACTAGCAACCTGTGAAATCACTAATTTGGCTTCTTTATTTCCTCTGGTGAGGTATTTATTACATGAAATAAGGAAATTTAATTGGTAATTTCGGTATTTGCTACAGCAGCCTTTGGAGTCACACCTAGACACCACAGTGGCAACTGCTGAAATCACCAACTGAACTTCTTAATTTATGAAAATCTGCCCATCTAACCGTCAAAGCGAATCACTAAGATACTCTTAGCTAAATTCTCATATGTTATATTAGCAATTGTAATGCTGAAAATATTAAATTTTAGTCTCCAGTATATTATTCAAAATAAGCATTTATATCAAAAAATTAATTTCTTATATGTAAAAATTCTTTCGCATAAGTAAATTAATTCAAACAACATACTGATGTCGTCTAGTTGTTTTTCTGTTCTATTTACACACTTCCTTCCCTCATTATGCCATATTGTTGTTAAAGTAAGAATTTGATTACCATTTGGTAGACATTTCTTGATCACTTGTTTTGGATAACGTGCTTGACAATTGCAAACCCACTTTTTCTTAATGACTTTAAGTAGACATTTACACTGATCCGCATACCATAGTTTTGTCACCTCAGATTGTTCGTAGTTTTCTAGTTTACTACCACAAGGAGTTTGGATTAATTGAGGTTTAGAACACGCTGAAAAAAGAATAAGAAAAGTAATGACACTCTGGTCTAGACCATTTTCGTGACCATAGAGAAAAATATTTTTCGTTTACTTCAACAAAACCTAGGGTTGGGAGGAGAGTTAACATATGCATGGTCACAGTTAGTAATACCTTCTAGCTGTTTGTGCTACATGTAACGGGAAGAATAACGTCATGAGGAAATCATTATGTTTGTCGAGTTGTTACAGTTGCTCATTTACATCTATTCTTTGCGTACCTGTAATTTCTATGCGTCACCTAAACATGACTGTGAGTTTCCACACCTCACTAGATACAAACGAGAGAAACCGCATACTGAAGACCTATTTATCCGCTCATTTCCTGTTTACTATGATTCCTTCTCTTCCTGAGTACAGGGAACGCTTTTGAATTTTATAGAGGTTATTTTTTCCAGTTTACTTACCTTTTATCGTGACCACAAACGTTATCGTAAATGCAGCAATTACAGATCCCTTGATCTTTCACTCTTGTTAACATAAGTTTATAATCAATTGTGTACACTTCTCAGATTGAACCTATCAAATAATGTTTGTGAATTGCTATTTCATGACAATGTTTGTTTTTATAATCGTCTATGCTGTAAATCAAGCGTTCGCATGTACGACGTTTCTGTATGGAACGACAAACAGAGTGGTGCCTCACTTCACATCCTTTATTTGATTGAACTTTTATCTTACTTATTTAATATGTAGATATTGAGAAAATGTATCAGTTTGAATTTTGTATATTTTCGTTGTGATCATGTTTCTCGTGGGCAGAATATTTCACTCAATTTTTTCACACAAAATGATATATATATATATATATATATATCACATTGCATCAGTCGTCCAATCGCAGTATACTTAAATGCAATGACATTCAGTCTTGAAAATACCAGAGATATCAGTGACGGATGTTTCGAAAATTTAGTCGAGTTAAACAATTTAATTCACTGTTTACTGAGAAGGTAGATTCTTAACCTCGATGGAGTTTTAGGTACCTGAAATAATACAACTGATGTTATTCAACATTTTAAGTAGCGAGTCTCTGGAAGCCACCGAAGATTTTGTATACTTGGGTAGTTGTGTGAGTAGTGATGGATGTGTGACTGGCGAGATTTCCAACTGTAAATCGACAGTCAAAGCCACATACACTAATCATGGTCACATTTGGTACCGAAGAATCCTAACCTTGCAATGAAAAGTTGGGTATATGGTATGTCGGCGCGGGGAGTACTGCTTTGCGTACGCGTAACACGCCTTCAGGTCGACAGTGTTCGATGACTTTGTGTATTTGACTACTTGTGTCTCTGTAGGATTGCTCATGCTTGGCGTAAAGATCATGTAAGTAATTCTGGGATAAGGCGGGATATATTTGAGTGTGAAGAAAATCATCATTGAAACACCGGCTTCCAATGCTTGAACATGTCACATAGATCGGTCCAACAGCTGCCATGCTTAATACTATATGCTTATTCTAGGAATGTCTAGAATAAATGAAGAAGTGGCCAGTGTACGGCGTAGAACCAAGAGATAAGGAATATTTGCTTAAGGTGAGTATATGTAGATGCTTCATGACTCCCTGAACGGGGTACGATAGATCATGCAACTCGGTGACTTGGGACAATGGTAGAAATGACTAAGTGGGTGCTTCTTCTTCAGAAGTAACTTCGGAACTCCTTATTTAATAACCCTATTTAAAAACCTACTTACTTCGTTTTCTCTGTCGTTATTTGTGTCTTTATAGTATGGCTTTACGATTTTGTGCAGCACATCTCTATGTACCCATGCTGTACGAAGTTTCTGTTGTAATAATCATATATATATATATATATATATATATATATAATATTCCTTGCCACGATAGTCCAAGACATCATATTGTAAAGGAGACCAATAAACTAACTAGCTGATATTATAATCCAAAATAATTTTTTGTTTCGCCTTGTCACGCGATGACAGAAATAAACTTACTCAGTTTCTTAAGCTCCTTTGTTTTATACATTTTACAGTTATTCAGTTTACGATCAAGTTTGTAATGAATACGTTGAACAGCTAAAAAGTTGTGTTTGATGCATTTTTTGAACACTTGTACAGATGGACAGGCACATCTAATACGTCGTTCTTCAAGTACTACGGGACTGCACGATTTCTCTGCAACTTGATAAGGATTTACAATGCCAGTCACCACACTTTTCAATCCCATCCACTTGTGAACAGCCCAGCCGTTTATACACGGTCCAGGGATACGACGCACTGCAGTTGGGCAACCTTAGGTATAAGAAGAAAACAATTGGGGGTTTGTGATTAGTTGACTGATTTCAAAGCAATTTTCAATATGGATAGAGAGTTACTGAAGCACCAATAAAACAGTATTTTGGAATTTCATATAAATATCAACCAACAAACCTGCTTGGGTTCAAGCCTATGACTACCAGAATCAAAATGAATGGACTTTGTGTTACAGGCCCGATATTCTGTCGACTCAACCAATACCTTTGGTTTTCCCTTACCATTACTATCTGGTACACACAAATAATTTTTTTGATTGAAGATACACCAGACTGCTCAGTTATTTCAGGAAGGGTATGGTTAGGTAATGCATCATTTTTCAACAAATGTACTTCGCCTATTTTTGATTATAATTGATGAAAACTGTAGCCCAAACATATCACACAATTAGTCCATATACTGTTCTGTTCTTTCAGAAATGTATCATGGTTATTGTTGGTATATTCATCTGCTTTACACTCACTGTTCAAGGTATTCGTTCTTACTTTATTAAACTCAAATATGCAAATGTACAAGCATAACTTACCACATCTTATTTTGAGATTTTGAAGTATCTTCTGTTTACAAACACAATTTTCAACTATTGGTTTCACTATAGTGATATGGTGAAATTCACCATCACATGGTTTAACACGAATTCTTTGTAATTTCTGACCACATTTCACTTTGATAGCAGTATGTGAATATTTCGGCTGACAATATGATTTGAAAGGTGCTGTATTATAGGTTGGGGTGATGAAAGAATAATGAATTTGTTTTTGTGTAATTACATTTCTCTCGCGATCGCAAACAGATGGTTTACTACTGGTTTAGGGCAGCAACAAATTCATCTGTCATTTTTCTGTAAATAAAATAAACAAAATCAAAGTGTATCAGAATAAAAAGCCACTATTAAACTATTCTAACAGTTCCCGCATAAGATGTTTCTCCTTGGTCAATAATAAAGCTAAATATTATGTCCGGTAGAAATTTCAAAACTCCAAAAATATACGGATTAATAAAACTTGAAATAGGTTAAGCGTAAAAAGCTCTATTAAATACACAAAAGATCCGCTTGATATAAAAACCAGATAGCTACAATCAAAATTACCATTTTGCAACATTCAAACTTCAGAGTCATATGTGACAGTGTAATGCAAATGTTCACACTGTAAAGTGTGACCTATTTGTTACCACTATTAGTATCCATAACGTGAAGTAGTTTGAAGTGTTCAGAAGCTTCAACCAATCAATTTCGAGATACAGTGTTGCTAAGGTTGGTTTTCAGTGCTGAAAATAAATGTCCAATATGTAGATAATTTTCCTTTGCGTATTGAAATTAGTTACTTGATAGGAATGACTTCCGGTGCACTATTTCAGTCAGTGTCGCAATATGCAGTAAAGTCTGTCATTGAACTTTTTATCATAGGCAAGAATTTAGTTGTTACGTGAATGCTGCTTGTAAGAATTTTATTGCTCATGGAAATGATTAATAGAAACACTATCTAAATTCCTACATTCTGATTGAGAATTTCGCTTTCTTCAAGAGTTGCATTTATATATCAGTTGGTGTATTCACCTGCCACTAGTGGCATGAAATTTCATAAAATTGTATTTCATCTTGAATGTATCCTGATCAAGAATAGGCTGGATGGTTCGGAAAAACTTGGGCACCGAGTTAGTGTAACTCATCGTATAAGATGTGTTTTACTTGTGTAATCCCGGCTTAGTATATAAGAAGAAATAGCAAAATTAACACATATTTTGTAATATTTTTCAACGTTTTGGCTTTACTATGAAGATTATTTTCCGGAGAGTTGTTTTGTTTTAGGACTTCTACTGGTGGATCACAACTGCATTGTACTTTTCATAGTCGACCTAAAGAGTGACTTTAAACGCCACCTTAGCAACGACTGAAATAATCAATTAGACTTGTCTGTTTTATGAAAATCGGACTTTCGAGCCGAAATGGAGAAACTTAATTGGTTATTCTGATTGTTGATAGGGTGGCATTTTAAGTTACCCAACGTTAATTTCCCGTCCCATCTTTGTTCCACCTTACTTGTACAACTGAAATAAGCCTAATCTGTAAAAAGTAAACTTTCAATCAAAAGTTTACACACAATGATAAATTTTTATTTGAGGTAAACTTTTCATAGAAAATTTACTTATAATATATTGGTCCATTCCACAATGCAAAAACTTTTCATTGATATATGGAATAAGCCTCTCCTACCGACTTGCTAATTGACCCATCTACATTATATTGATATTTGTTCCGTATCACGATCTAATTGGGTGATCATAAAAGTCACCAACTTTACTAAACTTGAATATTAACCTGAAAACAATATCAAGTTCATGCTCTTGCAAAAGACCTTCCTAGCAAGATCGAAATGGTGAAGAATAATACAAAATATTTATTTATTTTATTCGTCCTAATGTACTAGGCTGGGATTACACATGCGATGTATATTTAGCCTGTTATATAAAATACCTGTAGAACAGTTATCTATTCCAACAGGAATTAAGATTGCTGCTGAAATAAATTAGTATTTTAACGGTGTCAGTCATATTTATTTTAAACTACTGTACAGGTTTGACGAGGTTTGCTCGAAATCAGTTATTTTGTTAGGTTTAAACTGTTTGTTTGTAGAGATTCCAATTATAAGCTGGAAGGGATTTTAAGTGAAATTTCACTAACTTTCAGATGAGCTACTTAGATAGTATTCGGAACATTGGTCTATCCCTAATTGAATACATAAACAGTTGCACCGCAACAGCTTTTAACTAAGTTGAACTGTCAAAGAAATAGACTAGCGAAATGTCATCTAGTTTATTCAATGAGGGACACCTAGTTTGTTAATTTTGGGGAGAGATCCAACCATACTTTGATCGATCACTGGAAAGTGACAAGCTTCCTATTACCTAGTCCTAATTGCTGGCTAATGTGACTACTCACCTAGTCGATTCACTGACATGGTGCACCGAAGACGGATATTAGACAGGTTGAGGCGATCCATAAGAAGCAATGGCCTAGGTATTATGAGTTTTGGCCTCTAGCGTTCAGTGGTAGTATCACGGACTGCAGCAAAAGTTAGTTTGAATTCAATTATCTGATGAATGACGGATCTCTCAAAGTTGCAGATGTCTCATGTTAATCACTCCCAACAGGCATGAAACCAAGATGCAGAGCTTTCTACTGATTACCTCCACCTAACTACCTAATAGTGAATATTTTTAATAACAACAATCATCACTTTATTCTAGATAATGATTTTTAATACAGTGTTCAATTCTCAGTGTGATAACTCAACAAATTTACTTATTGTACAGTATTTTCAAATCAAACAACCATCGCAGTTAAATAATGTTAGTAATAACAGTGTGATGAGCAATAAATATTATATTATTACTTGTTCTTTGGGTTCCTAGTGGAACATAGGGCTTCAGTAGCATGCCTCTATTGCACTCTCTTCTCTGCAGTTATTTCAACCTGGCTCCATGACTGCCAACAAGCTTTCATTTCTTCCTCACACCATCTCCTCCATGTCACTCTCTCCTCGGATGCTCAACTCGTCGTTACCCCTTGAGTTCCACTCACGGCCCTAGCCTGACACTCGATATCCCCAAATGGTCTTCTCAGTGTATGACGCATCCAGTCCAGTCCATCTCCACTTCCTTCTGCAGATTCGGTGGGCAGTGGGTTCTTGGTTGGTTCGTTGCGAGCCGGATTGAGTTCCTTGTTGCCTATTCTTATCATTCTGCCCATCTGATATGATCTTCAGTATCGACTGAGTGTAGGTGGCAGCTGTTGATGGATGTCTGTAGTTTGTTGGAAATACCTTCTGTAACGCGCCAAGTCTCTCAACCACCACATAGAAGCACTGACTTCCTTGACTGAATTAATGTTGGGAATCCGGATCTTGTTTACGCTTTATGCTGAGTACAGTGCAGTGCAGTGCAGTGCAGTGAGGTGCAGTGCAGTGCAGTGCGGTGCGGTGCGCTGCGCTGCGGTGTGGTGCAGTAGATCTCCACACTGATTACAGAATAATGAAGGCCTGTCTTGCTGTCTTTCCGTTCCTAGTTTCGACATCCTCGTCTGTGCCGCCGACTGTAGTTGAAACGATGCTGCCTAGGAGGGTAGGTGAAAGAGATAACTTGATTCAGGTTTCTCCCGTCAATGGTGATTGGTGCTTGTTGTTGTTGTTGTTGGTTGGGTATCATCATCACCTCTGTCTCTCATACGTTCACCTGAAGGAAGTTCCGTCTTCGCTGCCCTGCCTCGCCTCTTCTGTCGACTTGTTAGTTTTCGCCTGTAGATCTTCGAGTTTGTGCGACAAGATATCAGACATAAATCGACATCATCGTCGGCGAAATCCAAATCTTCTTCTTGGGTCATTTCATCGATCAAACAGCGTATGCCGATCTTCTTGCTCCTCAAAATTTCTTGTGTGATCCAGTTCAGTCCAGTGCAGTCGACCGCAGTCAGGTAGATCATCGATGATGTTAGGCGGTAACCTTTTCTTATTCTTGTCTTCACTTCAGAGTCATGACTGAGCTTTCCATTGTGAATCACTCGGCCAGTATAAAAATTTGCAGTTCCTGCTGTCTATATCTGTAGTAGTTAGGCGATGAACTGTTGTGTGCTCAAGAGCTCATTTACATCAACCATGAAATTTATGGCAGTTTTGTTTTTAACCTTTTATGACTATAGATTTAACACATTTTCGAAATGCGCGACAGTACGTCTTACGATTATTTGATACTTGAATAACTAAAGCAAGCATAAAAGTATTAGTTCGATGTATGTGTACGACAGAAAGGTTTTGGCAGTTCAGAGCTTTAAGGACACCGCCAGACTGTTTGTACATCTGTCTATCTCTCAGGTCAAGTGGAAAATAGAAGCAGTTTGCTTTAAATCATGGAAAGTTGCTTCATGAATAAAAATACCTAAAAGCTGGGCTAATAAAAAAAGACATGAAGAAGAGGGGAGATAAATATGGGTAGGAAGAATAATGGGTTTGACGAATACTTGTGTTCACTTCCACCGGCATTAAGACCAGTACGTTAGTTATTTAAAGTAGGAAGTTAGTTAGTCGCACTTGCATATACTGAAGCCTAGAATAGTGCTTTTGCATCCGTGCCCTTTCTGGACAAATTAGGTTGACTCCATGACTTTTCCTTCCCTGCTAAGCCAGCAACGGTGGCTGTTATGTTGACGATTCGCTTCTGGTAGGAAAACCTGCTCTTATTTCAAATTATCTCCCGTTGTATAATCACAGTGTTCTATTTTGGTTCATAGTATGTCAAGTAAACGGACTCCGGTTTCTCATAATGGGCTTAAGATATAAAGTAAACTTTTGGTCGTATGTTATCACAACCGCCTTTCATTGAACTTTCTTAAATTATTTAAAGCTAAACAGATTGCCAAACATTTAGTTCTTTTGACAAATTCTCAGTGTATTTTTGTGAAAATTCACTGTGTAAAAATATTTCTCATCTGTAAACAAAACACCAGGTGATTACCATTGGTCAAACTGATTACGCAGTCATCGTGTTGATATGCAGCTGACTTACGGGCAACCAGCATGGAACTTCATTCTGTTCAAGCGTTTACTGTTTACTTTTGTCAATTTATATAAATGTGCGTAAACAGTGAATTAGATTTTACTACAGGAATGGACGTTCAGTGATTTATATCAATTAAAATAGCAACGTTTGTCCTCTTTTGACCTTGACTTGAGATGATTGAGCTTTTTATTCAGAATACTCATTAGTATAATCATCCAGATGTACCATGTTCTTTTTATGTAACTCAGTTGTCAGGGTGTATACCTCAAAAAATGCTCAGGTAAAAATCATAATTTCACTCGAAAGTTACATGATGGATACTTCTTGAGTGTCAAGATTATATGACAAACTTCCAATAAATAGTGAAGCCATATTTTTGTTTGAGCTACCTAAAGAATAAAACACTCAATGGTGATATGCAAAAACTTTGGTTTTCCTACTTACTGTAAAACTTGACATTGGCAGTTCCTTACTTTGAATCGATAGTCCAAACGTTTGGCCTTACATGAAATTGGATCACATTTTATAATTTGAAATTGCGGTCTATGATTAAAATCTCTTCTGATATGACTACATGGATCTATTTTAACCTGTTGTTGAGATGATATACATTTTTCCCCAACCAAATTGAAAGTGGTAGTAATCTGAATCAAATGACGTCCATTGTTAATACATTTTGTCTCTTTCACAGGATCTGGACATTCTAAAAATATAAAGAAATAGTGTTAAGCTTTTATTCATGTAGCTCAGCTAAAGACTGACATTTCCGTAGAACAACTGAAGGAAAAATATCTTACAATTCACAATTCCCATGCACAATACACTTTAAATGCCTGGGTGCACTAAACTTTTTAAATGTTTATCTGTTGTTTTTAATTTTCTTAGAATAGGCTAATGTTTTCAAAGTAAATTACATATTTTTCCGAA